TTGGGGAAGGGAGACTATGTATTTCCCTCTTTCAGTCTCAGTCTCTGTCGCTATCTCTGTCTTTTCCTCTCTCTCTTACTTTCTCTTTCTCTACCCCCCCCCCCCCCTCTCTGTCCTGAGCCAACTTCACACAGAGCCCTGCTATAACCATCCAAACAACCACAGCATTCACACAGAGCACACATGGCTCACTTCACCACCTGCTGCTGGCCTCACCACGAGGGGAAACCTCACTGGTATTCAGCCTGGGCATTCCACAACATTCACTTCTGAAACAATGTTGTTTCTGCTGTAAATCCTTTGAATAGCTTTGTTGATATTCAGCTTTTTGTTGTTGTTGAAACTGTCTAAAATTCAACAGGAACTTAAGATCACAATGTTTACAAATCAGTAGCTTCATCTCCCTTGTCTGCTACAGCATCTTCTTCACTTGACCAGCATACAGTCGAGTAAGCATTCCTGCCAACAGGGGCCGAGTCGGCCAAGCTAAAATGATGTAGCATTCATTGGATAATAGCATAGTAATTATTGCTGGATTACAAACGACTCTGTTGAATGCATCTCCTTTCAAGCTGAAATATGCTTTCATCATAAAAGGTCATTAACAGCATGCTGTATAGTTTCTTTATGACTTATGGCCGTTTCTGATTGCATTTCCCATGTCATACAGAGAGCACATGAAGTGGGCTTTCCCCAGAGAGCTGTGTTTCATGCAACAAATCATCGTCCATCAGCACTGTGGCAGCCAAGTCTACTACCACCATCCAAGACTAACAAAGCAGCGAAGTCAACCACACAGTTTATTAATGTTGCGTTTCATGTCCTTCAATTGTTTCTCAGGCACTGCATGGGCTTTAGTCCCACCGTTACATATACCCCACATCTCCGTAATGCTGAAGAGGCTGCTTACAATGGTCTCCTTGATTAACTTTATCTGAAGAGGGTATTTGTTTCTGTTGTGAAGCAACCTGCCATTTGCCCCTAAGACTGCTTATTACATTTAATTAAAAGTGGTGGATACCTGGAACTACTGTTTATGCAATAAACTGCTCAGTGGTCAAATTGCTGCTTTAGCCCCACTTTGCTCAGTTCACATGACAAACCGGACATTCCAGGCCAGCATCTCCAATAAGATCTTAGATGAAGTTCAGCATGTGAGTCTGTTAAGGAGCGGCACACAAGAATTGCAGGAATTCAGAATTGTCATTGACATACCTTTATTTCATTTCTAAGTACGTCTAATGTGATTGGCCGTAGTAGAAAAAGTGTTGTGATTATGTTTCGCTGTGTTAGAGCTCATTTATCACAGGCCGCTTTGTTTTTGTGTTTTTAGCTTGTGTGAGGCATTCCAGCCATGTGTCTCGCTCCAGTTACTCGATGGCACTCTGGACTTGAACCAGTCACCCTGTGGTTTCACCTGGTCTGAGGCTTATTTATTCTGTTTCATTGCTAACACGCCCTGCACGCATCACTGCTGATAAAGGTTGCTTATTATTAGTCACCCTCAAGAGGAACTGAAATGTCAGATCGGCCAGTTATGGAAACTGTAATTGGTTCAGGTCTCAGCTGTGACTTGCTCCACTGGGAGACTGTGTGGCCCCCTAATGAAAATGTGTGAGCACATTATATTTATTCTAGTTAAAGAAGACTGTTTGCACATCCTCTAATTAATATTGCAGAAAAAGGATGTGGAATTCTCAAGTTCTTGGAGAATTGGTTATAACTTTCCAAACTTTTTATCGACTCAAATTGTAGTTTTATTTGTATAGGAATAATGACTGTGACTTTTTCTCTATTGGTATAGCTTGCTAGATCTGGATTGATGTTTGTACTGCCAGTCAATCATATGCTTCATGAGTATATTGATTTATCTGTGACACACACGACAGCCTGACTTTGGTTTTAGATTGGCTGTGATGGTAGTGGCCGTACTTTTCAGTTTGACAATACACACATGAAAACATATGTCTGACTTCCTCCTGGATTGTGGTGAATATGTGGAAGACTAAAGTTCAGTTAGTGACGCAAAAGAGTAATTCAGTTGGAATGAGCTCAAGCAAAGGATCGAGTGATACTGCTTCTGTGACAGGAGATACTCAAATGGCTTAATTAGGTTCTGAACAAGTGGAAAGGTTTGCGTGTGGAAAAAGTGCACACTGAACATTTGTTGAAGTGTAATGATTCTCCTATATCCTTTGTAGAACCAAGTAGCTTCATGGATAACTCTCCAAAACCCTTTCTTGTTTGAGCAGCTTTCTCTGTTCTTCTAGTAGTGCATCTGCTTTCTCTCCAGTTCCATCTCATCTTCTTCCTTTCTTTTCCTCCGGTTGAGTGTCATGATATCAAATATGGAGCGCAAATGGAAAAGGTGTGTTTTTTGGCTTCCTGGGTAGGCATGTATACAAATAGAACGGTGCTATTCACAATGAAACCCTTTCCCCTCTCATTTGCATTACACCCTTTCAGCTGGGTTTTTTTCCAAAGACTTAAATATCAAGACTAATTACCTCATGGACTAAAAACTAGCTGGTTCAGTGGGAGAGGAAAGGGTTGCACCATGTTTCACTTTAGAGAGCTTAGTGGAAAGTTAATATACTCCCTGCACACACACACACACACACACACACACACACACACACACACACACACACACACACACACACACACACACACACACACACACACACAGTAATTACTTTTAATAGTAACATTTCCACACAGCATACTGAAATATGACCAACGATACATATTCTGACGAGTTTAGTACTTATGTTAAATCCAGATGTTTCCAAACATTTTAAAAACCAAGAGAGGTCTTTAATTGTAATCATGCTTTCGTTTTCAAAATGTATACAGATAAATAAAATATATATAGTATGGATGTTAGAGGTTAATTTGAGACACACACTCACACACACGCACACACACACACACATGATGAGACTCCCAGGCATTGTGTCTTCATGCTGCTGTGTTTCTTGCACTCGTTGATAGTCAGATGACTTGCTACGTGCTGCTTACATTTGCATATGAATGAGGACGTCTCCTTAATGCTTAATGTGGTTTGTGAAGACAGGTATATAAATAGTTTCTAATGAATGAATTAATCATCTTAATTAGTGAGCTCATTAGCATGGCAGCTTATGATTAATATATCATTTGTTATTATAGGGGGAGGTTAAGCAGCAAGTGGCTCTTCTTGCATTGTATTGGATGAACAGGTTGCTCTCACTCTCATGGCTGCAACATGGGAGGAAACATATGTTGTGATTTATTGTTTTGTTCTATAAATGATCAGAAGTAGTGAATTGAGTTCTGCTTTTCCTCCCCTTTCAATTTGCTGCTATTATACAAGAAACTGCTTGGTAAAAGGGAACAAAAGGGAAAGGAAATGATAAGTTCTCCACATACTCTCTCTTCCTGCAAAGTCAAAAATTCCCTTGGGGCAATATTGCATTCTTTAACAATGTTTTTTCATTGACATTGCTCTGCCAGTACATTTATATAAAGTTCTTATGTTGTGCTCCCCTACTCACTGTACATGTCATGACCTTTAGTCCCCAGTGTATAAGTATGCTGGAGTATACAGTAGTATAGGCCATGGAGAGTCATAGGTCTGATAGTCTGCTGGTTGTGTCTTGTCTGATAAAGAGCTCTACTGCTAGAACTTGTACGTAGATCAACAGTAGAGCATGTACTCGGTGTGTATCCTGTGCACGGTGATGCGTGGCTGGTCAATGCTGCTGATCAGCCCTGCGGCGCTGAGTGGCTCGATGGGGGTGAAGGGCGCTGTGTCCTCTGGGATGGAGGCGTATAAATACTGGAGCTCTGGTCTCCCACTGCCTGTTGGAGTGGGCATGAAGAGCAGTGTTACACAGAGGCAGGACGAAGAGGCAGGACGAACAGGCTTAGCGGGGCTTTAAGAGGCTGAGAGGAGGTACTACAGGTGAGGCTCTGCAGGAGAGGAGGTGTGCAGATAGAGAGGGTGGCTGGTTTTAGTGTCTACTGATCTAAAGGGTAGAAGGCATGTCGAGTTTCAATGTTGTTTTTGTGCAGTTGGGATCGTGGCAAGAGATTACAAATGATATATCAAAGATTTGTTTATATCAACCTGTTTGCTTTTTGACCCAAAAATCAAGCACTTGAATGATAAGCTTCTTAGCCATTTTGATCCCAAGTTGTCAAAGCTTTGCAATTGACCATCTCTTCAATGTGGGTCACAGGATCCTCCATGTTGGTCATTGATCTCTGTTGATTGTAGCACAGTAAAGCAGGTCACTCATTTCCTAAACTGTAAAACTATCAATTCTCCTCTGCCCTAAAGCTCTAAATCCCAGAATAATTAAAACTGCAGGCCACGGATAGAGGACATAAACCATGAGAGCCTGACGGATTAGATGAGAAGCGTGTTTTATATTATATATAACTCTGGTTCAGAATTGATTGAGGAATATAAATATAACTTCAAATAATGTGGACATTTTTCAACATGCAAACAAATAAAAACAAATAGTAATTGTAGATTTTGGAGTAACTGAATGAAATCGTTGGGCCGATTTTGTGATTTGATGTGTTTAACTTTGATGTTTATGAAATCATGAAATGTCTCACTGCATGATGTTACTGCAGCTGGCACAGATACTCTTTTTTGCTGACACTTACTTTGGCTGGACTGGTGCATCTCCGCTCGTCTGTCGTTAACACTGAATGGAGCGATATCAGATGAACTTATAACATAAGGGGTCGCTGTTATGGCAAGAAGTCAAAGCAGCATTGTGTTGGCAGACTGTGGAACCAGCAGCCCTCAAGGTGCCTCTCTAGGTCCCTCTCTAGGCACTCTCTCTGTTCTGCAATCATACCATTTCTTCTGGTAAATGGTATGATCTTTCATATGTCGTTACTTTGACTTCATTTAATCTTTTTTTTCCTATTTTTTCCATTTTCTGTCTTTTCTTCATTTGTCTTTTCTGAACACATTTACTCCTTGTGTATACCTCTCCCGGCTCTTGAACCTCATGCACCTGATTTCCATCTGGCGGCGGCCTTTCTCCTCCGGCCTCTCCCTCCCTCTTCTTGACCCTGATAAACCTTCTCACCCGTGTGCTCCCTTCTGGTTGGAGATTGCAAAGTTCACTTTAGCTCCAGTTGCGATGGAGGACAGTGACCATGAGGCGCACTCATCAGACGAGCATAACTCCTGCCCTGCCTCCCCTAAACACAGCATACCAGACCATGACCCTGAACAGGTACCGGTGACACCTCCAAACCCCTAAACTACCAATGAGGTTCCCCTTCTTATGGCAGTGTTTGAGGGCCAACTTAACTTTACCTGCTTACTTAGCCACGATAAAAAGCAATACATCTTATACCAAATGTTCTTCACGTGTCCTTGCAGCAGCCCACTCGACTTACCCCTCAGCTGATGCTTAGTGCATAAACACAACAACAGTGCAGAGTCACAGTATAGGCCTTCAGCTGACTTTAAATGGCATCATTGCGTTCTACAGGGCCCCTGCATTATTTATCTCTGTGCTCGACTAGCTTTAGTTTTTAGTAACATGAGTCTAGAATATGCAGCCTACACCTCAGCTGTGTATCCTCTTACTGGAAAAACTACACTTTGTTATTTTTTATTTAAGCTTAGTGTGTATTACATCTAGAAATCCAGGGATGAAGAAAAACTTAGCAACCCTAATGCCTGAAATTGCCCTATTAATTTAATAACAACCATAAAAAGGCCTTTTCTTGCCTCACATTAGCTCTGCAGAAGTTATGATGTGTCAGGAGATTTATAATCCTTGATGTAGGAAAAACTCTCTCTCCTCTTTCAGGAATGTGGAGTTAAATGTACGCCCCAAGTATAACAGCTCATTCAATATTAGTGATAAAATAACACTTATCCACTGAGATAAATGTCTGGGATTATATTTCACCCCTTACATATTGTACTCATAAATGATTATAGAAAGTGATTACCAGCTGCATTGCAATTATATGTTTTTTATTATTTACCCTCACAATAAAACTATAGCAACCGTTTCTAAGAGTTTAACACATTTTCCACCGTCTTGATCTCCTCTCTTCCACATCGACACTTGACCTTTCCTCCACCTCCACCCTCTACTTTTTTCCACATATTCCTCTTCACCTCCTAAACCTCCCCCTTCAACCGTGGCGTCCCTCTAGCATTCGGACCATTCAGACGACTCCGAGGTGGAGAGTTTTATGCAAGACCCTCACCACCAAGGAGAGCACGACCACCACGACCACCATGACCACAAGCACCACCTCCATCACGACCACGAGCCTCACGATGCAGGCAGGGAGGCTGAGGGCGAAGACCGCCCCCACACCCCGTCATATTTGCGTCCCCCTGTGGCGGGCAGGGCTCAGTCGGATTGTGGTTTAGAGCCCTGTTTCCCAAAGAGCAAAAGTGTGGAGTTTGACTTGCCGTGTCCCGTCAGCCCCCCCAGACCCAAGAGTCCCTGGGCTCGATACGACCCGTACGACAGTAATAAGGTAACACAAGGACATAAACCCACTGAGATGTTTGTGTTCAGTTCTGCTGTCAAGGCGATGTTTGTTTGTGTCGATCACTTCAGACTGATGACGACAGTTTGACTGATCCTGTGCCTTAAACTCAAAGTTGCTTTATGTATCAAAAAGGTTTAATTGTGCTTTTTTCCTTCTGGTGGAACAGGATGTGATTAGGGCTCTGTGATTTTGTGTTTGTTGTTTGTTCCGGTCTCACACCTTTTGTAGGAAATATACCTTAAAACCTATTTTTGGAGAGGTTCAAATGGCGCTGAATAATTATAGTTTTATGGTAGTTCTGGCCTTCCTGATGTGGTGTTCAATTTGCTTTTTTAGGACCAGGACAAGGAATACGTGGGCTTTGCGACGCTGCCAAACCAGGTGCACCGTAAGTCAGTAAAGAAGGGATTCGACTTCACGCTCATGGTGGCAGGTAAATCCTCGTTTGCAGATTATCAGATATTTGAGCCTAAACCCAACTTTTACTTTGAAGTAAAACCTTAAACCTCGCTATTTTCGTCTTTGTTTGTCTTTGTTTGAAGGGGAGTCTGGCCTGGGAAAGTCCACCCTGGTCAACAGTCTCTTTCTCACAGATCTTTACAAAGATAGGAAGCTGCTCAATGCTGAAGGTAATGCAACCACAGCCTTTGATATACTCACTTTCTGACATGATTTTGAAGAATTAGCGCTTCAACGTGTCAAAGTTAATGTTAAAAAATGTGTCCTTTTTTCTCCTTTTCCTAGAGCGAATAACACAAACAGTAGAAATCACCAAACACACAGTGGATATAGAAGAGAAAGGTGTCAAACTGAAGCTCACCATCGTCGACACCCCCGGGTTTGGGGATGCTGTAAACAACACTGAATGGTACTTAAAAATGAATCATCTGATATCTAAGAAAATGACCAATGTGATAAGATTCACAGAGCACCGCAGGGTAGCCCTTTTGTTCTGCATGTGCAGTAGCTCAGCTGTTGCAGTATTGCCTCGGAGACTGAACGTCCCTGTGTGTTTTATCTCTAGCTGGAAGTCTGTGGCGGACTACATCGACCAGCAGTTTGAGCAGTACTTCAGGGACGAGAGTGGCCTCAACCGGAAGAACATCCAGGACAACCGCGTACACTGCTGCCTCTACTTTATCTCACCCTTCGGTCATGGGTATGAGAAATCCGCAGTTCTCTCATTAGGATTAGTCCAACTTCTCTGTCCTATATTACTCCGAACAATGGGGAACATTAACCCCTCTCGACTGCAGTAATGTCTGTGCTGGCCTTTGCAGACCAGTGACACAGCACTTTTTCCCCTGCACACACACAGAACACACCACCTGAGTAATTGATCATACTGGACCAGTATTTAACTTCAGTGCTTTCAGCCCCATTATTGTAAAAGCAGTGCTCCTGTCAGAGTTAAAGCACTTCTCAGCTGCCTTCACAGGGATTTAGTGCGTCCACTGCAGTGCTTTAGCTCTAATCAATCCTTCGTGCTGACTTGGTGCTTTTTGCTGCCGTTGTGCACATGCACTGTTCCACATAACTGTGCTCATTAAAGAACAAATATTCTGCGAACCTAAGTAATGCTGCAGTGCATGTTCAGAGTCACTGTGATGGAGTAACTGCTCCATCTGTTGATGAGCTTCAGTCATTACTGATCAGATACCAGGAGGTCACATAGAGAGCAAACCTCCAGAGAGTGACCGACCAGAGACATCGCGTGATGTCTAACGGTACATTTTATGATTCTAGTGTGCAACTAAAGTCGGGATAAACATTACATTATTTAATGATGTATAGAGGGCAGATTCAGACACACCACACACTTCTGCTGGGTCATCAGTGATGATTGAGAGGGATTATTTCTGTAAAAATCTATGCATTTCTTTTGAGTAAATCCTCATTGTGGCTTTAATGCTATTGAATGTTTCTTGTCTCTTTTAGCCTCAGGCCTTTGGATGTGGAGTTTATGAAAGCTCTACATGAGAAAGTTAACATCGTCCCCATCCTGGCAAAAGCAGACACACTCACCCCTAATGAGGTCAAGAAAAAGAAAATCAAGGCAAGGCTGATCTTTCAGATCTGATCTGGAAACACTGTTGATCTATTTGATCCCATGAATGAAACGTCTTTCCCATTTTCACTGTGTCCTTTCTCCATCGACTGCTCCCCCGTAGATCCGAGAGGAGATCGAGCAGTACGGCATCAAGATCTACCAGTTCCCCGACTGTGACTCTGACGAGGACGAGGACTTCAAGCAGCAGGACCATCAGCTGAAGGTGAGAGCCGAGCTGCCAGATGTTTCCCCTCTCTGTCCCAGTCCATCTTGTTTTACAACGTTTGGGATTCACAGGCTGTTTAAGTCAGCAGTGCACACTGAATGCTTACATGGATCAGTCGGTAAACAAGATGGAAATCACTGATAGCAAGTATTCCATCATACATTCTTATTCTTATTTGACAGCATTTTTAGAAGTTTTTGTTTTCATGATGAAAACTGAGAGAATACTAGTTTGCTTTGTCTAGTTTTAAAAAATGCGTAGCTGCTGGGTCAATCGTGCCTGAATCAAATAATTATTGTTGTGATTAGTTGAGAGCAAAACAATACCATTTATTTCGGTTTTTTCTAGATCTTTGAACCTGCGGGTATCATTTGGGAACGTTAGGTTTTTTCTATCAAGTACTGCAGCCTCAACGATTACCCAGTTATTATAATGTAATGATGTTAAAATAAAATACAAACCAGACCATATCAAACAAGGCAGTCAGTCCACTGCTGAACACACACTCTCCAGGACTCAAGTTGTTTGCTCTCCTCGCGTCATTAGCGAGGCAGTATTTCTCTCTTTCTTCTGATGTGTTAACTGCAGCAGACAAATGACAAAAGGGAACAAAAGATAAAATAATGAATGGGAAATGATGGTTGATTTGACATAAAAACGTAATGTAGTTTCATTTGAGAGTCCGCCGAAGTAAGCAATTCATGTAAGATGGCTTAAAGGAGGCTAATGTGTAAAAGTAAAAACACAACAATAAAAAACATCTGCACTGCACCACTCACTGGTCCAGCCTTAACTCATCTACACCCTCCCCAAACAGATCTTTTGTAAATGTCGTTTTGATTTCACGATCCTTCTCTGTTCTCCCAACCAGGAAAGCATCCCCTTCGCAGTGATCGGCAGCAACACAGTGGTGGAGGCCAAAGGGAAGAGGGTGCGAGGCCGACTCTATCCCTGGGGCATCGTAGAGGGTAAACCTGTTCACAATGTAATCGATTTGTAGTAACAGAAGTTAAACAGCCTGTAAAAACGCTGTATGGCTGTATGTATGTTTCATTGATGTACAAAGAGAAAGAGCTGTGTGTGTTATCATCTCTTGCATGATTCAGTACCAGCAGACTTTTTCAGAATGTTTTTCGAATTGGTCCTCCCTCTTTGTTTTGCAGTGGAGAACTCGGCCCACTGTGACTTTGTGAAGCTGAGGAATATGCTCGTCCGTACGCACATGCAGGATCTGAAGGACGTGACCCGGGAGACTCACTACGAAAACTACAGAGCTCACTGCATCCAGAGCATGACCCGCATGGTGGTCAAGGAGCGCAACCGCAAGTACGCTCACACAGAAGCAAACACACACACCTGTACATACTGCATCAAGTGAAGAAGAAATATGAGACATTTTAATATCAGAATAATAAACTATTCAGGATCAGTATCAGGAGAAATCAGTAAATAATCTGTAAAAGTTGTTTTTTGAATTGATTGTTTTTTGATTGCTCCTGTATTAACATTACCTCTAACCTTTGAACCTTAGATCGATGTAAACTAGGTCACTAATATCCTGATTCCTCTAAATGTCTTTCTCTTATTTTAATACACTATGTTTGTACTTTTTGTTATAGTGGAACAGAAATGAACAGGAGAACTGAGCAGACATTTCAACAGCGGTAATACAGCTCACATTTGATCAGAAGTTAGTCTTGTGTCAAGTTATGTTCATATTAATCCAAGGAAGAAAGAGGCATACAGTAAATACAAATCACCAACAGGGCATCCAGTAATAATCCCCACCTCAGTCATGAAGTCCTCAAAGAGAATTAAAACACATACAAAAAATGGAATCACAGAAAATAAATTGGAGAATGATTATACATTTGCTAAACTGGTTTCCCCCCAACTTTAAGTATTTGTGTTGATACATGTTGATAATGTTTCTATATACAGCCAGTTTGTAATATGTAAATACAGCAATACAGTGGACCTTACACTGAAAAACCTGAAAGGTTGACTTTAATTGAATGTATTATGTCAACAGATTACCCATAATTGAATTAGGTACATTGAAAGCAATACTATAAAGTTGAACCTAATATTGTTTTATTTAAACGTAATATTACTGCTCAAAAATTATGTGGAATCTGTTGATATAACAAATGTAACTAAGGTCAACAGTTCATTTTTCTCAGTGTAGGCTCAATCACCATTTGGTTACTTCCTTCAGGGATAGATAGCAATACTTAGTTTGAAACGATTTCACCAGATACTTCCTTATGTTATGTGTAATATACATATTCATATGTAATAACCATGTCTGTCAACACATTGTTGCTGTCAAGTGTAAATTAGCTCTGTCAACTGCATTTGGTAGAGGGCAACTAATTACTGAGTGCCAAAGGTAGATTTAAATAAAACCATGGGAGGTACTGTTTAGATAAGTTTAGATTATGATCGTGATAAGATCAGCCACAGCTGCTCTTTACCTGGTGTCGGCTTTGATAGTTTGGAATAGGACATTTACTTTTGGGCACCATGACATTGATAGACTCTACACAGAAACACATGACGTTTATCTGCTGCCAAACAGCTTCCATCCTCAGTGTCTTTTACAGATATGCAGTTAAATCCCTTTCACTATGACTAGCCAATGACATATCAGATCCAGATGCAGCTTTGTGATACAATAAATGTAGAATTTCTCAGTAACGTGTTTCTCTCCGCAGTAAACTCACCAGAGAGAGCGGCACGGACTTCCCCATCCCCACGGTGCCCGGAGTGGACGATGAGACAGAAAAGCTCATCCGAGAGAAAGACGAGGAGGTACGGCGCGCTGAGCGCCAGAAGGACTCACAGCACCAACACGAGTCTGAACACAGCCACGAGCACTCAGAGCCTCAGCCCAGCGCTGAGACACACGCAGAGCACAGAGATATCTCTGATGAAGCCCTCTGAGAGTTCTCACAGATAATGTTCATATATACGATTTATTGGAAGCACACTCAGGTCATGTTTTCTGAGGTTGACAATGAGTAGCCTGGAAAACATGGATTAGTGTCAATTCAAACCCCTTCTCCCCTCTCTCCCTTTGAACTGTCTGTGGGTAGGAAAAGAGAATAATAATCCCATTTTCAAAGTCAGCTTTTATCCCTGTTAGTTCAAACTTGTTCATGGAAAGTTCTTCAGACAGTGCAGAAATCTAAAAATCTTAGTGGAACTAGGCACTTACATTTCAACAATCATTTGTTATACCCCAAGAGCTAAATACAATGCGTTTGAAATATGATATACATTGTTTCTTTTGGCATTTGGTTAGTAAACATATTGTTAGAGTAAATATCATTAAAGTAAATATAATTATAGATTTTAGGCTCCACATATTTAAATTTATCATATATTTTCCTTATCTGAAGATGAGCAGACAGACATACAGTTAGTTTTCATTTTGATGAAACACAGTCCCTTCCCTTTCCCCACAACATCCATTTATTTGATCAAATAAAGAGAACATGTTTCCTCAATTGCTTTTATTTTTTTTGTACAACAAACACTAAAATGTGGTTAAAACATTAACAAACAATTGATCAAATAATCGGAAATGTTTTCGATAGTAGTTTCAGTCATTGTCCAAGCACAAAAGCTACACACTTCCCCTTTCCAGCTGGTCAAAAGAGTCCAATTGTTTGTTTCCTTTCCTTGTCTTGGATTTTTTATTTGTTCAGACAACAAGACATTTGTGAAGTCAGTGTGGGCTGTAGGCAACAGTGATGGGTAATTTATTACTGTTTCCTGAGCAACTTATTATCAATTGATTTCAATATCAGTGAATTGGGCAATTAGTTTAAGATTCATCCGTTAATCAAAATAACTGACACTTCGCAATCTCACTTTATGTTGGGAAAATCGAGAAGTGAAATGATTTGTATTGGGCACATAATCAACTACAAAAATAAATCACACCACAAAACTGTTTGTGTTTGTGCCACAGTTTAACTGGATTCCCAAAAACTTCATATCAGTTCTTCCGATTCTTTTAATTCCTTTAAAACCAAACAATTCAGCATGATGAACGAGACAAAATAATGTTTTGCTGCTTCTGTAATATTGAATACTTGAAGTTGTCAGCGGCTCACTGCGGTTGTTCAGGTCACGTGATCTAGAAAGTCTGATCTCCCGGGGGTTATTGATTAGTTGCCTGTGCAGTCACGTGTACATAATGAGCCTGTATAAAAGGCTGGATACCCAGATTTCCCATCGCCATGAATGCAACAGTAGATGACTCTGCACTAACTGTTGTCTCTTCTCTCCTCACAGTTGCGGCAGATGCAGGAGATGCTGGAGAAGATCCAGGATCAGATTCAAACTCAGAAAGACGGCTATTAACACAGGACAGTGTCTCTCTGTAACTGGGATGAAAAGATTTAAGAAACACAGGATACCGTTTGTCCCTTTTGTCCCTTTTCAAGAACATTGACTTCCCTCTCTGTCCACCCACCTCCACCTCGTCAGCAGCAACCTTCTCTCGGATCAGGCACCTGCGAGGAGGCGGTGCGATGTTCTCACGTCTGCAGCTTCCTTTATCCTCTCTGACTTTACCACTGCTGCAAAACACTCCACCCTCTTCTGTTCTGTCAAACATTATAATTTAATGATAAGGATGGTTGAAGAGCAGCGTATGCTGCGATCTGATTTTCCAAACATCTGATTTGTTAGCCACATGATCACAGGGTTGTTTTATTTTCCTTTTTTTTACATGAAGTCTGATATGAGGTTTACATGTGGGGACCTGCTCAGATTTTAAAGCACATATTTCTGGTGCAAGTGTTTATTTCTATTATCTATAGGTCAACATGCATACTATTTAATTTTCTATATAAAACTCATAAAGATTTTTGTTCCTAGTTTTATTTGGACTGCCTGATAGTACGTATGGTTGATTGTTTTATGTTCATTTCCCTTCAGCTGAGGTTCCTGATTATTCGTTTGGTTTATGGATTGTTAAGATTCATTTTGATTTAGTGTAAGTGTCTGCATGTTTATCATTGGTGCCACCTCTGCTGCCTGACATCATGGATGCTCAACAATGGCCAGTCTTAACGCACTGCAACGCTAACTTATTGCCATATCAACGTTCAAATAATCTCACTTTTTACATGATAAATGAGTCCTTTATTGTTTGGAGAATTCCCCCAAAACAGAGTTGTTTCAAAGTGATTTTCTCTCCTGATAAAACCACCAACTGTTCACATGTGAGAGCTGATGATAGGACTTTGAATATTAGGCTTGCATGAGAAGGGCCATGCAGTGTATTTATTTTTGCATGTGTGTGAAGGTTTCTTTGATTGCAGATCAATTTAGTGATCATAAGGTTATTTATGGGCAATGAAAAATATGTAGCTACTTAGTTGTTGGGGAAAAGATATTGAAAAGAGGTGGATTTGTTTTCTTCCGTTTGGTATAATTTTGTCCTTAAGGGAACTCATGAGTTGTGTGCTAACCTTAATGTTTATCGTATAACCAAAGCCACAATGACCAACTTCATTTTCCAACATTTTTGATTTTTGTTTTGTGTTGACATGAAGAATAGGACTTATCAAAGCCAAGAGTAATGAACACATGTATTGGATGAACTTGATTCTCTTGTTATATATACTGTTGTTACCCCTTTTTTGGAAATAAGATAACTCCGCCATGTTGCGTGACCTTGTTATGTAAAAAAAGAATTACATTCCTCGAATTCTGTCCCAGAGTCAGGTATTGCTATTGTTTCTGAATTTGTTTTATATTAAATTTGTCTTTTGTTATCCTACTTTTTGGAGTATATTTATGTAATAAAATTATAAATGAAATGAGGATGGAGAAGACAATATGTACAAATTCTAATATTGTAATAAAATATGAATATAATTTCATGTCTCCATCTGACATTGGGTTTTGCTTTTATGTTGTGAAGATGTAAGCAGAAGTGAATGATGTGGCTTGATTTGAATAAATAATTTAACCTGTAACACATTTTATTAACTATTCCTATACGACATGTTCACTACATTTTCACCACCTATAACAGACAGTCCATTACAAACTGTCAGTTATATGTGCCTTTATTTGTGTTTAACCCTTTATATATAGTCTATGGTTTAACCCTTTATATATAGTCTATGGTTTAACCCTTTATATATAGTCTATGGTTTAACCCTTTATATATACAGTCTATGGTTTAACCCTTATATATAGTCTATGGTTTAACCCTTTATATATACAGTCTATGGTTTAACCCTTTATATACAGTCTATGGTTTAACCCTTATATACAGTCTATGGTTTAACCCTTATATATAGTCTATGGTTTAACCCTTTATATATACAGTCTATGGTTTAACCCTTTATATATACAGTCTATGGTTTAACCCTTTATATATACAGTCTATGGTTTAACCCTTTATATATACAGTCTATGGTTTAACCCTTTATATATACAGTCTATTGTTTTACCCTTTATATATACAGTCTATGGTTTAACCCTTTATATATACAGTCTATGGTTTAACCCTTTATATATACAGTCTATGGTTTAACCCTTTATATATACAGTCTATTGTTTAACCCTTTATATATACAGTCTATGGTTTAACCCTTATATATAAAGTCTATGGTTTAACCCTTTATATATACAGTCTATGGTTTAACCCTTTATATATACAGTCTATGGTTTAACCCTTTATATATAGTCTATGGTTTAACCCTTTATATATACAGTCTATGGTTTAACCCTTTATATATACAGTCTATTGTTTAACCCTTTATATATACAGTCTATTGTTTAACCCTTTATATATACAGTCTATGGTTTAACCCTTTATATATACAGTCTATGGTTTAACCCTTTATATATACAGTCTATGGTTTAACCCTTTATATATACAGTCTATTGGTTTAACCCTTTATATATACAGTCTATGGTTTAACCCTTTATATATACAGTCTATGGTTTAACCCTTTATATATACAGTCTATGGTTTAACCCTTTATATATACAGTCTATGGTTTAACCCTTTATATATACAGTCTATTGTTTAACCCTTTATATATACAGTCTATGGTTTAACCCTTTATATATACAGTCTATGGTTTAACCCTTTATATATACAGTCTATGGTTTAACCCTTTATATATACAGTCTATGGTTTAACCCTTTATATATACAGTCTATGGTTAACCCTTTATATATACAGTCTATTGTTTAACCCTTTATATATACAGTCTATGGTTTAACCCTTTATATATACAGTCTATGCTTTAACCCTTTATATATACAGTCTATGGTTTAACCCTTTATATATACAGTCTATGGTTTAACCCTTTATATATACAGTCTATGGTTTAACCCTGGCAGCTGCAGGTTTTAATTTGACTATTTTCTATAACATACTATGACTGTTTTTATTTTTGTGATGGCAAACTAAAAATACTTTTTATTTATCATTTTAAGGAATACAAAAAAAAACTGAACACAAGAGGGTTTAATAAATATACCAAGCTGGTCCAAGGTATTGGAGCCTTCAGGAATAATGAATAATAGGTTTCTTCTTGAAGTCCACAATATCGTTCTCTTTAAAAAAAGAAAAGGACTTTTTTTATTGGATATAGCAGGAAACATAAATACAGGAAGGGGGATAGAGAGGGGACAACATGCACAATTCAGATTTGAACTCAGGCCCTGCCAACATGATTTTTATCAGGGTGCAAATACTATCAGCTGAGCTACAAAGTTAGCTGCCTTCCTTCAATCATGTTTTAATAAGCATGAACCGTCACAAAACAAGTGAGATACATAATATGATTCTCTCCACAAGTTAGGCAAGTCAATAGTTGTTTTTTGTCTATTGATTCAGGCTCTGATCACCTATGTGTGTATTTATTAAACAGACTGACAGACTTCAATAGTCTACATGTGAGACAGTTTTAATACACAACTCTCTGAAGGTTGACAGCTTCAGTCGGAGCTTTTGTTGTGTCGAGATGGTCCATTAGAGAAGTTTAATGACCGCTGAGGCAGGGACACGGGTTCGAACCCCGCATCAGGTGTGCAACAGAAAAGTATGTTTAGTTTATACTAAAACTTCACCATGAAAGGCTGCAATCGTCGAGATTAGCTTCTGGCAATTAATACAAACATCGTAATTTAAATCTGACTGTCAACTCCAACAGTGACAAATAAAATTATCATTTGGTTAAAATCAACAACAAAAAAATGCAGCTTCAGACATTAGTAAACATAATACAATTTATTAAGTAGCTTTTATAAATTTGACATATCTTCCCCAGCATTTTACATAATACAGTTAGAACTAAATGCAGCCCAACATTTACAGGCTATATACAATTTAAACTTTCTCCATAGGGAAAACACAGGAGTATATTGTTGCTTCTTCAAGTATCTGAATCCCTGTTCATTTTAACACATTTTGTTTTGCTACAATATGATTTCTTCAGGACGATTTGCATAAACTATTGAGGAGAAAATCAGTTAAAAAGAGAACTAATAGTCCCTGCTTTAATCATATTGCATCGAAACAAAATAGAAAACAATTACGGGGTGAATACTTTCCAAAGTGGCCGAATGAGATATCAACGTGAAAAGAGGTCTGTGTAGTTGCCACCCCGATAAACAGCACTATACATGGTCCCAGAAAAAACAACTATATTATCAAATGTTATACTGAACAGAAGAAGTCATTCTCCACATGAAACAAGCAACAGTAAATCTTTTAAATGTTACACTTTACACGTGATACTTTCATAAAGTATATTTCTTTAAAAAAAACATAAGAAAAAAAGGGCTTAACTTCTGATGAGTGCACTTCTCCACATCCTTTCACAGATGAGTACATTCAGAATAAATAAGGAGAACAAGTGCTACGCTTAACTGCTGCTCATTGAGGCTAATAGAAATGTTCACAGTGCTAGCTTTGGAAAAGAATAGTCTTGAAAAATCACTGATTGATTTCATCAATGTTGGGTGTTGAAATCACTTAAAACTCTGAGCAAAGAAATATTACATTCCTACTGCAACATGTTGAAGTCAGACAGACCCTCTAGAGTCTACAGCTTGCTTTCAGGATTATCACAAATACAGTCATGACATGCATTCACAGCATGCAAACACCCATACTACTACCATTTGCCCTTGAAGACAGCATAGAAACACATGTAACTATATTTGATGGACCTTTTTTATGTATTCACATTCAAAATTCAAAAGCAATCCCTCACCTTGTAGCTTCTGAGTTCGTATCTCATGTGTTTAGTTTTTAAACACACCACTGTGTTGTGACTTTTAGGGGGTGTTTGGAACTGATTCTGTTTGGCAAAAATATTTAAAACATATATTAGCAGCTGTGACCAAAACATAGCTATATCCTAAATAAAGTAACAATTTCAGTGTCCACGATAAAAATACAAACCCTGACAAAACTGCATGTTCTTTTTACTTTAAATGGCCGTTGTTTGAATGAGAACCATCAGTATTATACTATATTAGAAGTGTTTTAATAGTCACAGGAATATTAGCATTAGATTGAGCCCAATCAGCCAGCAGGGGGGGCTATAGCTGTATGCAGCATCACTGACGGCTGATGCTCCGCTCAGGAGCTTCGGTTCAGTCCGGGATTTGACTCCAGCCCTGCAGCATGTGCCTCTGTTGAGGAGGAGCTCCTCTACATCACATTCCCAATGTGCTGGTTATGGCGGGTCCAGCAGTGATCCTACACTCAGTCTCACAGAGTGGCTTCTCCACTACATCATATATGTTAATCCACAGTGATAACCAGCAGCAAGTACCTCCATGAACACGGTGACATGCTGCGGACATGGACACTAGGCTTGCTATACCCAGATCAGATTTATTTGAAGTAAATCAGATTTGGCTGTTCAATTCAAAGATTTGACATTATGTTCCTTTTCTTCCACTCTGCGGATCTTAATACTTCCCGGACTTGCTCGCTGCACCCGCTCTCCCTTAAGGAGAGCCATTAACATCTACACAACCATGTGTCTATGATTACATTGTTTACTAGGTTCTTCTTCGATTAAGCTATCCTAATTTTGCTTTCCAAGTGCAGAAATATTATGTAGGCACATTGACTGGTAAGGGGGTCACCGACAGATGATTCAGCCCTAATAGACAGTGTAGTGGCAGCACAAGACTTCCCTTTATGCAGAGAGTGACGTCTTAACATCTGCCCACCATATATATTGCCAGACTTGCTCAAGAGGAATTCAATCAAATCCCAAATTCAGGATAAAGATCTCAGGACACCGGTGAAAGACTCTTTAAAGAGGGTTTGTTGTAGGAATGTTCCCGGCTTTCCATCAGCTGTAATGCTTGTGAATGAAAGTCAAACTCTAGATCAGCGAGGGGTCCCGCAGATCTCCGGCCCTCACGGTGGGCTCCTCAGAGGCCTGATCTAAGGCCTGTAGTTCCCCCATATCGAGGGACGTCCCCTTCTCCCAGCCTGGTGGTCCTCTACGTGGGGTTCAGGCCAGCTTCAGAGTGCCGATGGGGAAGGAGGGCATGGTCACCATAGTCAGAGGGTTGAGCACCGTCTGACCCACCAGCTGCGGGTGGTGCGTCACCATCTGGGTGTTCACTGTTGTCTGCTTGCCCATGATGGTGGCAGCGGGTTGGCTAGTCACAGTGCCGTTCATGTGAGGGGGGGCGTGGTTTATGGTGTGGGTGATGCGACCCATCATGGCCGACTGTGTGACGGCCACCTGCTGGGGGTAAAGGTGCTGGTGGAGGTGGGCCACCGGGTGCACGGTGATGTGGCCGATGGGTTGGTGGGCTAACTGGACCGTGCTGGTGGAGGAAGCCAGGTGGGTGATGCGTTTGTGACCCCCTCCATGGATGACGTGGTTCACTGCTTGTATGACTGAGGGGTGGGATACTGAAGCGTGGGCTATGACTGTGGGGTGGAGGCTGGACGTCGTCACCATCTGTGTTTGGGTGGGGACGAGGGTCTGCGTGAGGCTGATGGGAGGGCAGGGGGAGGAGAGTGTATGGGGGACTGCAGGTTTGAACCCTGGCTGTTGAGGAGTCACTGTGAGCGGATGGAGCTGAGGGACTTTGTGCTGGATGGAGATGTGCTGGGTGATGAAGGAGGTAGTGCTGGGGGCCAGGTTGGGGGCCTGAGTGGGGGGTGCAGTCCGGTACAGATCAGGTTTCATGGTTTGAGGCACGGTGGGTAAGGCAGTCTGTGCTCTCGGCGCAATCTCTTCTTCCAGGTCTTCATCCATGATGTCTTCACCTTCTGCAACAGAGGAAACAATTAACTCATTATCACCACATGTAATCGATTTCATTTGCAGTATTTCATTTGACTAACAGATATATTTAGAAATATAATGTGGTTTGGTGCTGTATTTGGTAGGTCATTTTGCAGGTTGGAACTGTTATAAATACATAAATGTATTTATACCTTGTGCCTTACATGTAGTATTTGTACGTTGCACACACAGTTGCACAGACAGTGACGCCACAGCCAAACACATATATTATATCATTGGTGTATGAGTAGACTTAAAGCTTGCACACACAAGCATAACATAAGCCGTAGCAACAACTTTCAAGACGAGTTTTGACAACAATGAGGTCAACATTTAGACTACATTTACAAAAAGGTTTGTGAACGCGCTGTAAACTGAAGTTAAAGAAAGAAAATCAGAATCGGCCGGTCAGACTAGGATTCTTTCTTTTTTTTCTTAAATCTGTCAATAAAATCGAGTCTTTGCGTCTCTAACACAGGGGCGTCCCTAAAGGTGGTCCGGCCCGGCGGTCAGTGTACCTGAGGCGGTGGAGGTGGAGGCCTGGTCCTCCTCCGGCTGTACGGTCTGTCGCAGCACGCGGTCCACCTCCATCACATCCATCCACTGGCTCAGCTCGTTCTTCAGCTCCGCTAACCGCTGCTGCATGGCGATCTTCTCTCTGGCCAGCCGCTCCATGTCGTGCTCGTACTCCTTCTCTTTCCGCTTCAACGTCTGAAAACAGAGAAGAACATTGATAAACTCTCAAATCATTAGATTTTAAAATAATAAATAGAGAATCTTGATCATAGTGTTACCAGTTTAAAGTAAGTACCACAGAATAATGCAACAATACAACCGCACCTAAATAAATGCTGTCTCTGTGATGCCTTGCTTTTGTTGATTAACGATTAAGACAGATGTCAATTTAACTTTGAGGCCTAAGTCGATTCGTTTTTAATATAATCATTTTGAGGTAATTTTCCATTTTATGCCTCTTTATAATTAAGCTTCACTACATTTTGCGGGGAAATAATGCACTTTTGACCATCCCCTAAGAAAGATCATTTAAACTCAATAGAAACCAGCACCAATGCCCATGCCGTCTCTACAGCTGATTCAAAAGGAACAGGTCCAAGAAATACAGATTTAAAAACAAACCTGCGACCAGACTGTTTGCAGGGAACTAAATATCAGAGCTAGATACGCAGGCAGAGGTGGAGGGGGGCAGGGAGGGGGGGAGGCGGGTGTGGAAAGTAGGAGGTGCTGTCAGGCTGTGGCTCTCTGTGACCCAAATTCCCCTAACCCATCAGCTGACACAAGGCAAAACAAACTGAGCTGCCCCTCCCTGCACATGGCTACAGGATAGGAGAAATGTATATGTACAAAGAGTGTTCAGCAACATATCATCTTAAAACTAATGCATAAATGACTGCTGGCTATCATGATCAGTCAGGATCGAGTTACGCTGTCAGGGGATTCAGGTTTTGAAATGTGACACTTGATGTCACTTATTACATGTCCAGCTCAATCAAAGTTCCCGAAACTACCTCGGCTAGGGGAAACGACCCTGTGTGAAATCTGTTACCAGCAGGCTGATGACTCAGGATCTTAAATCCATTTGCCCAAAGTGGACTTCCTGTTAGTGTTCATGCCACCGTGTATCTGTGAAGGTACAGCATGTGCAGGTCATCTAGAGTGAGAGGGCCGGATTGAGACAATGTGTGTTGTGTTGTAGCTGCATGTAGAGGGATTTCTATCAGTGCGAGTACAGTACAATATGCTTGTACATAAATAGCACGGGGTGACAAAAGGTGGGCCTTGTGTAATTCTGCACCTGTCTCTAGTCCTGATCCAGGATTAAAAACACACGGGCCGAGCAGTCTGTGCATGGACTGACTACAATCACCAACACAAATACAAACTCAGAGGAAGTCCTTTCCCAAGTCAGGACAAGAATGATTAATACCAGTTAAACAAGCAGTTTGTAGTGGTTCAAGTGAAAAAAACACTTCAAATGATAAACCAAAACGATTGATATATATATATACATATATACATACATATATACATATACACCGAGTGGCACATTTTACAGTTAAAAAAACATTAGTGTGTCATCATGGCACTTCTAAATGACCTCAAACCTTGTTTGGCGATTCTGTACTACAATTTTCAGGTGACGCATACACCGTTATATCTGCAATAAACTAATATAAACCTGGCACATTCATTAGTCTGGATCTGCTTTAAAAAGTGGTTTCTAAAAACATCAAATTAGGTTCATAATTGTCAAAATAAGAATCTAAATTCTCTAAATTAGAACCTGAATTGTCTTTACTGAGCTTTGTTAAAGATGATCCAGAAGGTAACACTGCTTTCTGACCTGTATGTTTTTACTCGTGAAAGTGTTCGAATGCTTCTGGAATATTACAGGAATTCAAGTATTGCATCATTTCTCCGTCATGCACACAGAGAAAAGTTATAAGCATGGGGAGCAGATTAATAAGTCACCTGGTACATAAACAGTCACTCTCTGTCCAGAGATCTGAGGATATCGGTGCTTCAGTGTGAACACACGAACAGTTTCCTCGGTGGAAGCACATGATGTACTGAAATGCCCCCATCTTTGGTTGCCATGGAAACAGATGGAAACCTCACAAGGTTTCCTCGGTAACATCAAAGACCATGCACACCTTCATGTGCTAAAGGTACATTTTAGTTTAGTTTAATTTCTTCTTACAATAGTGTAATAGTGAAAGCGATCGGGAACAGATTCTCTCACACACACAGCGTTGTTAGGGTATGAAGAGCGTACAAAATATGTGACACGTGGATCGAGAGTAAAAAGGGAGGCACCCTTTTACTCATGTGCTAGCAGGCAGCTTTATGTGAGCCGTGCCTCAAACTATGACTCGTGGTGAGAAACACTCCACAAACACCCACTGATCTCTCTCTGTTGCAGGGCTGATGGGGGACAGACCAAACACTGTCTCTTTAGAAACCAGGTCTGCTGCCGATTCCTCCCTCATGACTTCATCCCCCTGTGAGTCACGTCACCAGGTTGATATTGTGCAGAGCTCCTTTTGTCTCTTTGCTGCACATGGCCGCGCCCCTGAACCACAAACGTCCTCCTTCAAGAGAGAGACAACGCCCCACCTTTGCCTTGTATCGATTAGTACTGGGAAAGGCTGCGTTATACGAGTGTGTGTTGGAAGGTAAACACTGCCTCTACGCTGTCACAAGCAATGCGAGTGCTGAGCACATGGCCCCACAGAGAATGGGAGAGGGAGGGCCACAGAGCGTGGGGGATTGAGAGAGAGCATTACAAGCTGTACTCACTGACTCACTTTTGCAGTAGACGGCACCAGGCTGGGTTTTTCTTAAAGGGCCAGGAGCACAGGAAGCCACGTTGCAAACATGCTGCTGGATGACTGATCAGAGGTCTTGTGACAGTGGAATGGTATCCATAATCTCTTGTCTTACTGTGGCCTCGAGCTGCAACTGAGACCTTCCCGTGGTGCCTGCCTTCAACAATAAAAAGCTTGTCCATGGGGAAAAAAATCCCCACTATTGCACACTGCTCTTTGTGTCTAAGCATGTGCTGGTCAACACTGACCTTAATACCTCATGGTGGCCTGAGGATGGGGGAAAGTCCAGACCATGCTGGAGATATTTCTCTCTTTTCCCCAGAAAAGTAGAATTTCCCTTGAGATGAATACACAACAGCAAATGTAGCATTTTGTGAATCTGACTGGAGTCTTGCTACAGAAGAGACAAAGACAAAGCTGAGAGGTTTCAAAAACCTTGACATATTAAAGCGGTGACCTCGACTGCCGTAGATAATCTTTCAAGGCTGAATTAATAACTTAATAATAAATGAATAAGGCTTCTAGGGGAATATGCCATTGTTTGTCTGAACTAAATCCTTCAAATAATGAAACACACATACACCTTCTCCACCTCTACATTCCAGATGGCACGACACATTTCAAACTGGCATTCTGGGAGAAGCCGCGGAGGAACACGTCCAGTGAGCTTTGAAGGGGAGATGAAGCGCGAGCGAGTAAAACGAGCCCTGTGTTTACCGCTCCATGTTCCCTCCCTCCTACGGAGAGTCCTGCCTGTTGCAGAGCTGGGCGGGGGCCATGTGGAGGGGAGGGCGGGGAGGGGGGGTGACGTCACGCGGATCACGCTAGCCATGTGCTTGCTGCTCATGTGGCCTTAAAAGCTCACATATGCAGGATGGAGGGAGGAAGGGAGGGGGAGCAGAGAGGAGGAGCTCTAAAGCACCAGGGTTTATTTTACACAGCAAGCTCAGGGGAGAGCCTTCGGGAACAAGAGGTCATACATACATTTAAAGTAAAAACCCAAACCTGTGAACATAACCTAATCTGTTTGTGTGTAAGGTTTCTGTCTAGTTAGTTGCTGAGCCAGGCCAGTGGCTTTCTGTGGAAAACTGAAACTAAAACTAGAAACGAAGCTACTTTTCACACATTGACATGAAGAGAAGATGAAGCATATGAAATCTGGCGCCAAGCCTGAAGCCTCTCCTGAACTCTGTGTTTTTGTGCAGGCTGCCCTCAGAGGAGGGCAAGGACAGGGGCTGGGGGGGAGAGCTGTGTGCATGCAGACACGCGCCTGTAACCTCCATGCCACAATGAGTGTGGCGTTTTGTTTTGGCTTCCCAATCACCTTAGTTCCTCCCTTTTACTCTTATCCTTTCAAAACAGATCCAGCCAGGCCAATGAAAAAGGCCTTTGCCTTGGGACAAAGAGGCACACTGTTGTGACCTACACGAGCTACAATCTAGTGTTATGGCACCGGGTTATATTTCTAAATAAGAAATGACATGTTAAGAAGGACCTGTCCCTGAGAATAATACACCATTCATTTGGTGGAAATATGTCGAGCTCCGGTAACAAAATAAATGAGGTATTTGTGTCCACTCAGAACTAATGGGGTTGTAACAGTTTGCGATTGGTTCAAACGCCTCAGTGGTGCAGCTCAGCTGTTGATAGGAGGAAAAGAGAGGCAGGTCAGTCTGCCAGTCGAACACAACAATGTAACAGGGTGTTGCTTAATCACACAGAGGGGGGCAGAGGGGGGAGGTTGGGTGAAGCTCTGCACCCACGCTGTCCTACTTCCCCTCGGTATCCACGCGCCGAGAGGAACAACCAGACTGCTGCATATCAGAGCATCAAATCAGCAGCTCCCTGTCCTCTGCAGCTCACATTAGTAAACCTGCACCACTGTTATAAAACAATGAGAAATATGAACACAGGGCTAGTGCTTCCAGAGAGGCCTGAATAGATCATAAGCAAGAAGAGCACACCTATCATTACCACTCAGTATAACCAAATAACTATCTTACATTCTGCACGCCTTACATCAAACCATGACCATTGCTGGACCAATACAAAAATACAACTGCTCCACTAGCGTAAATGAAATTCTAATAAACCTGGATTATGTTATTAGATCAAATACAGCATGAACCTCATACCTGAAAGACCGTACCTACAGGGTGACTTGGAGAGGGTCTGAGTCCGACCCTTGTCAATTAACTACAGGGGTCCCTCAGGGCTCTGTTCTTGGTCCCCTCCTCTTCTCCCTGTACACAAACTCGCTCGGATCAGTCATTAGCCCGCATGGTTTTTCATACCACTGCTACGCTGACGACACCCAATTAATTCTGTCCTTTCCCCGCTCAGAGACCCAGGTCGTCGCACGCATCTCTGCTTGTCTAGCTGACATCTCTCAGTGGATGTCTGCTCACCACCTCAAGCTCAACCTTGACAAGACTGAGCTGCTCTTCCTCCCGGGAAAAGATTGTCCCACTCTTGACCTAACAATCAACATCGGCACCTCAGTTGTTTCCCCGACTCAGACTGCAAGGAATCTGGGTGTGACCCTAGATAACAACCTGTCCTTCACTGCAAACATCGCTGCTACAACCTGTTGCTGCAGATACACGCTTTACAACATCAGGAAGATACGTCCCCAGCTGACCCAGAAAGCGACTCAGGTTCTGGTCCAGGCTCTCGTCATCTCACGCCTAGACTACTGCAACTCCCTCCTGGCTGGTCTACCTGCATGTGCCATCCGACCTCTCATCCAGAATGCAGCGGCTCGTCTGGTCTTCAACCTTCCTAAATGTTCCCACACCACTCCGCTCCTCCGCTCCCTTCACTGGCTTCCGGTAACTGCTAGAATCCACTTCAAGACACTGGTACTTGCTTACCATGCTGCGAATGGATCTGGCCCTTCCTACATCCAGGACATGGTTAAACCGTACACCCCAGCGCGTGCACTACGCTCTGCATCAGCCAAACGACTCGCTGCGCCCTCGCTGCGAGGGGGACCCAAGTTCCCAACGGCGAAAACACGTGGGTTTGCTATCCTGGCTCCAGGATGGTGGAATGAGCTCCCCATTGACATCAGGACGGCAGATAGCTTGCACATCTTCCGGCGCAAACTGAAAACTCATCTCTTTCGACTCCACTTCGAGCGATAGAACTATTAACGAAGCACTTTTATACTAATAAAGGACTGGCTTACCTAAAGCCAGTTGAGTAGCACTTGAAATGTTTTTGCTCTATGAAGCCTGATGTACTTATATGATTCTGTTTTCTTCAAGTTGTATTTTGTTGGTCGAACGCACTTATTGTAAGTCGCTTTGGATAAAAGCGTCAGCTAAATGCAATGTAATGTAATGTAATGAATACACATAAATAAAACACCTTATGCCAGGTTGGGCCCGTGGGTCATGCCAAGAAAAAATGAGTAAACAATAGGACACAGCTCAGTTTGTCAGAAAAAGTTCAACTAGGCCAGTAGTGGACCTTTGCACCAGCTGTTTACAACCATATACTCTCAGAGTGAGAGGCTGACGCACACACAGGGTGAGTCATATGTGGACATGGCACATTGTTTTGCCACTAGACAAAAAGTCACATCAAAATGTTGCAAAAGAGGAAGCGTCAATGATTCCTCCGTGAAGAAGGATCCAAACACACGAACACAAAATTGCAAGAAAACAAAAATAAGTTATAAATCACTGTGATGATAAATGCAGCAGGAAGCAGGTTTTAAACGTCTTCTTTGGTGAGAGTATCAGTAGTAAATGCTTATTTGGGACGATGAAGAAAAAGGCAACACCTGCACACCTACTAGAACTAGAAAAAGTTTTAAAACATTTCTAAACTGCTGCTCCTCTTGTACCCGAGGTTCTATCTTAAATGTCAGCGATGCTTTAAAGAAAATCTTGAATGCTTTAGGAAGAGACACTGAGGCTGATAACAATTGATCCGTCACTTTCACATTGCTATGATGAAGCTCTGGCATAGTCAAATTGATCAGCAATATGCCTTTGCTAAACTTATACCCAGCACTTTGTATTAGCAAGCTGGACTGGTCTTACCTGAATGTATCTCAGCGCACTCCTCAGCACGCTCAGATTGGAGGTCTTCTTCTCGTCGATGTTGGGGATGTTCTTTTTCAGCGTCTCAAAGCACTCCTTCAAGTGTGCTCGTCTGACAGACACAAAACACAGAGAGGGGATTTGAGACAGCAGGGATGGTTGAGCCACATTTGGCTTTAATTTAGCAACAGATGATTAGCAAAACAACTTTTTGAAATAGTGGTCTCAACTAAAAAGCAATCAAGCTTAGCATTCAAATTAAACGGCAACAAATAAACAGTAGGCAACTGTCAGTTTCAGAGGAAAAAATACTATGTAGCTAGTAAACTATTATTAAATGTAACAACACAAATAAGCTCAGATGGCGCTCTCTTTAAGGACCTATGGTAGACAGGTTGAACCCACCTGTTTTTCTCAAGCTTGTTATGCACTTCTCTTGTGCCTGCCCTGTAAGAGCACAGATAAGCACAGTAAGAATTTGGCGTTTAAAGGGCAGTGTGACATGAATAATAAAAATCAACCAAAAAATATTTCTTACTAGCAAAAAGCTTAGTGACGATAATATTCTGTCTTTTAGAGGTGAAATATCAATAATGTAACAGCTTTACAATTGCTACATGTAGCTATTTTTTTGCATTTCACATAATCAAAAGACTTTGATTGGAGGCTACAGGTCATATGTACCTATATATTGATCAACAAAAATCAACAGATCTATTAAAAGCAATTCTCCCATTTAAATTATGTACCCTCCCGGTCTCTTCTTGTCGAGCAGGCGGCCGTCGAGCAGGCGGCCGTCGTCAGGCGGACTCCCCCGGCTGGCGTGGCCGTTCTGCAGAGGGGCCTGCTGCAGCACGGGGCTCGTCTGAGGCAGGATGGCATGTTGCTGCGGGGGCGAGACGATGGACCCCGGGTAGCGCTGCACCAGCTGCTGCAGTTTAGCATTGTTAGTCTGGGTGAGGAGCTGCGGGTGGAGGCTCTGTATCAGCTGCTTGTGGTTGGCGGTCAGCACCGAGGGCTCAGGTTTGGGCTGTGGAGAGCGCGGCAGCGTGGCGGCAGGCGGGGGAGCAGCAGGGGGGGGAGAGCGTGGCGACGGGCAGCGTGGGTGAGCCTGCAGGGTTAGGGGTGACCACAGGGATGGGGATGACAGTGATGGCCATAGACGGGGGAGGCAGAGAGGGCGGGATGGGCCCCGGGCGGCCCCCAGAGCGCAGAGCGTCCCCTTTAGAAACATTGTTGATGTGGATAGTTGAGTTGTAGAGCACAGCAGCGTGCCTCTGCTGAGAAAACTGCTCCAGACGCTGCTTCTCCTTTAGGTCATCCTCTGAGGAAGAAACAAAGCAGGTTACCAGGAGATATGACACACTATACACCCTTTAGGGACAATGATCACAGCATGACGCCACCATATCGGAATATGCTACGTTTTGCGAAATTATAGGAAATGAATAATAGAAAAGTAACATTGATTCAGATTTACAGGAAGGTATGTCAGAGGAAATGCAAGAGGCCCTTTTTCAGTAGCAACTAGCATCTATTGAAAAGGAGAACTGACAAAATATTTGATAACCCATCGAGAAGTCCTTGAGACAACCTAAACACTCTCACACACAAACCAAGGCCTGCTAGCCTTGATTACCCTCACTAAAGTGTTTTAGATCCAAATCTAGTGATATCACCACACAGAACAGTTTGAACGTCATTAACCAGTGTAGCACGATGCCACGTTTCTGTTCAAAGCTTTTTCTTGTTTGTGCTGCTCTGCAACAGGCTTAAATCTGGGTCAGAAAACGTTGGCTCAACCACCAAGAGTAAACTAGATTTTGAAAGTATTTGACTGAAAAAATCCCAGCACCTCCCTTCAGGCCGCCTTCCAAAGTCACTCCCTCAAATCACATGAAAGCAAACTACCAGACTAAAGGCTGCAGGACGAGTCGACGAGAGGAGCTCTGTCACAGAATACCGTATAATAATAATAATACATAGATTCAATAATAAATTACCCACTGTAATATATTTTTTTAAAGTAATAGATTGTTTTCCATTTAAATGTCCGGAAGAGCCAAGGAATATAATTGACTTGTATTTGTTGTTGTTGTTGCTTTTTGTGAGTTTATATAAATGAAACTGATGTGTTAACTGATGTGTCATATATGGATCAAAGACTCCTGAACTGATTGTGTTGTGGCAGACTTTGTGATATCAGAAAATATCACACAACTGTCCAAAGAGTCAATATAATATACAGTATAGTAATTATTATAATTGTATTTGACAGAGCATTTGATTCATTCATTGCTGTTGTGATGTAAAAAGAAATGTGACAAACTAAAATAAAATAAATTGCCTAAGCTTTAGATTTATGTGCATTTACACATTTAAATCCAGCCAAGCTTCAGGTACACTCTCACTGAAGGAGGGTTGTTTCTTAACAGAGCTGCATCTCGCTGTAATCCCAGTCACAGTTCGCTGACTAAGCTGTGTTTGGAAGGTGGGCTGCACGATATTGGGAAAAACTGACATTGCGATTTTTTCCCCCTGCGATATATTGCAGTATGAAAACATACAGGAATTGAAGAAAAGACCGTTTTTTTTCCGCAAACCATCCTTTCTTCAACTTTAATGCTATACAATTGGTATTTTTTAAACTATATTTAACCGGATGAAGGATTTTAGTCACGGACGTCTGGATCTTAAGTTATCAGAGCAACAAGCTGCCCTGGAGAAACACATGAAACTACTTTATTCAGTGTTTTCACCTTTAATCACCGGGTCCGTTTGCTTTGGAGATTTGATTGTGATTGGTGGTTTGCTGTGCATGCAGAGCCGGCATGTCACTCACTCAAGTACCCCTGACATGAGAGCCGCGCAAGTTTTCCCTTTTGTAGCAAGCAGCAAAATAATTGTAACATGACGTGTTTGATTTAATTTGCCTACTTAATATCGCAAGTCCTAAAAAATAATAATAAACGCACGTCCTGCGATGTGAATATCGTGATTATCGTCACGACACGATATATCGTGCAGCCCTAGTCTGCTCTACATCTCGACTAACAAAGAAACACACTGTGGGAACCTTTAACATGTCAACTATATAAAAGGCATTACATACTGCATGTTGTGAAGAGTGTAATCAAAAACACGTAGGAGGTTAACTGTTACTTCTAAAAACGCACAAGTCAGAGACCCCAAGTTGACGCAAAAACAATAATAATGTCATTGCTCAATTTAGACCTTTACCATCAAAGATAAAAAAAACACAAAAAAAAACTTGTTGCAATGTTAACTAGTTGTTAACAAAAGAAAAAGTGTACTGACAAACTGTGACAAACAATGTGAGTTCAGAAAACGTGAGAAGCTTGACAATATGTGAAATATTGCAGTATTTTTTTTTTTAAAGCAGAGGTGGAATCAAAGAGTTGAATCTGCCTTGTAGTACTATCCAATCATATTGAAGACAGCCTCACCATTATGTATGTATGCATGCTGGAGAAAGAGGCTGAGTGTCTAGTTGCTATGGCAGCTGTGATGTTCACTATCAAGAGGTCGTCATTTCCCAGGGTCACTGCAGCACTACACACGCTGTTAGTGCTGAACAGTTAATGGACATCTGCATACAGCATTTTACAATAAAAAGGAATATCTTTAACAAAGGGCAGAGTTTAAATACTGATTTAATTTACAATTTGGTTTACAGATTGCCCGGCCTACACATCACGTTTGTCTCATTATTCCAGACCTATATCTGAGAATACACACTCAGTTGCCAGTCTATGAAGTACAGATACCCTTGTTGGTATGAATGAGATGGATCAAAATAACATCCGTCAGTAGAAAGCAACACAAAAACAGCACTGTGAACCACATCCTCCAAAATGGTCAGAAAATGTTATCTCAAATGTAATCACACAAAACTATTCAACAGAAACTGAACTTAATAAATCAGATTCATGGGTGCATATTCATGAATTCCTTTTTGCACATGTGACAAATGTTGTAAAGACAGCTTCCTGAACATGTCCTACATCACATGAGCGAAGAAAAGAGACATTCCCAGGTCGAAATCACTCTGCAGTACAATTTAATTGTATAATATTTAACAGACTGGTGTGTCACTGTTTGCTGCATATGTAAGTAGCATTCCAAGTATTGTCCTGAAAGTAAAAAGGAGCAGAAAAGAACAAGATGTTCTGGCTTCTGTGCTTGCCAGTGCGCATAAGGATGTGCCATTATGAGACTGATAATGTGTTATTGTGGGGCAGAAACTCACTAGAACGACGAGAGCCTTATCAGAGGGGAAAAGTATGAAGCACTTAAAAGAACAACAGGATTTTCTACAAGCATTATATAACTACAGCACATTGAGAAACACTGGCCTACTTTTCACCACACAGTGACCTGCTCTACAGTAGCAGAGATGGGGGGGGGGGGGGGGGGGCTCTGCTCTCCCAATGCAGCATGGCGGGAGGAGCTGGGAGAGTGATGGAGAGAAGCTCTCACTCTGAGCGATGAAGAGGAGCTCTCACTCTGAGCTTTTCTGATAAAGCTGCAGCAGGTATTTTCATGATGCATGAACCTGCTTGCTAAAGTATAACCATTTTGGCTTTTACACATAATTGTTATTAATGGAAATTCTTTATATAAACTGTCCAAAGTAAAAGTACACGCTTGTTTACTGCGACACACCTGAGCTTTCCTGTCATCTATTCATTAGCGTGCAGCAACAGCATTTCCATACATTCTGTGTTGAACCATTTTCAAGCCTGATACAAAAGTAGCTACAAAAAGATCTCCATCATCTTCTAGGTGTGGTACACGCTTTAAATGTGTTGTAGGGGTAGGTATGTTATAGAAATGCTACCAATGCAATTGACAGAGCAATTTAGGCAAGTAACACACAGATTACAATGGATTTGTGAAAGGGGCTCAACAGTTGTGGAAACTCTGCTATCCATGTGCTGTAGTTTAAAAGATATCTTCCACTGTCATGTTCGATTTAACTCATCTCAGCTTCCTTTAATCAAATTACACACAAACCAATAATACTTTTTTGTAAAGGCGTTGTTTCCAATAATAGTTATATACTGGTTGTGTCTAATAAGTGCAGTTGTGAAGGTAATAGTAATGTATATTTCTTTGACAAAATAATCTTTGATTTGATTCATTTAAAACACAGTTAATGTCAAACCTGGTATTTTGCAACACCCCTGTTCATTGTATATTAATTCTGCATTTAGTCTTGCAGTTGGTACACAGTGCATGTCTTTGTTTCAGTCACCGAGCAGCAGCATCTGTTTGCCTTTCTGGTGCAGATTTAGTTTTTACAAAATAATTAAATGTTTTAACTTCGAGGAGGTGGTCAGTTTTTTTCCAGACTGCATTTAGTAGTGACTCATCCTCCTCATAACCAATCTCTGGGAGGGGTAGCCCGGCACGCACGTGGTGAAAGGGGCGGGGCTGATAAAATATGGAGGGGTGGTTGTCTGATACAAGTCACCAAACAGACACCCAAAGCCACGAGCGACTGAAAGGCCATGGAGTTTGTGTTTTTTTTTATTATTTAAGAGCCAAACAATGAGGCTTAATGATTTATAAACAAGCTGTTTTATGACTACAACACTTAACATTTGCGAGGAAGCAAGAATGAATACAAAGCACATAGGGAAAGCCTTAAGCCTCTTGATCCCCCAGCGACGACGTCAGGTCATCATTATGTAAAACGTGCTTCCCTGCGCCACCGCCCTTGATCCCCGCATGTTTTGGTGATTTAAATTAAAATGCCTCGAAGCAGTGCAGTCACAAATAAGGTGACAATCAAAGGTTACTATTTGATAACTTTACAGTGATGCTGCCTTTGAAACAACTATGTCTATGCAGCAGGTTTCAATGCAGTGAGCCCTGATACTGCAGCAACCCCTGTATGTTTATATGGTATTTTGCTTTATGAATTAGGTTAACACTAAACCACACTGTTACACCAGGAGAAAACCTAATTATGCAATGCGTCTGCAAACGAAAGTAAAACGAAAATGTCACTGACTGCACTCAGTATTTTATCATGTTTTCATAAAGCTACAAACCGACGATTGTTCATTCTGTAATTATTTCATGAATGGCGCTGATAGATATGGTTTGTCCATAACTCAGAAAAATAAATCCTTTAGAGATACATTTAACTGACCTGTTAAGCCTTTATTTTGAACATTTCATAGTAAACCATGTTGTAAAAACATTAACTATATGTATTTTAAAAAAACACCAACTTACCACGTGCTTTCTGTTGTTGCTGGGCTTGCAATTCCAAAAACTTGGCTGCTTCCAGAAGCGTTTCGATGCTCATTTCTGTCCACTTCGAAAACACTGTGGCCTAATCTTTCAAAGAGAAAGGCGATAAAGCAAATGCGATATCCGCCCGAGTACTACAGGGAGAGGATACCAGTCTAATGCTGGAAGAAGGGTAATCGGATACCCCCTCGGTAGAAACTCTACCACTTACGTAGAAGAGTTACAAACAAGATGGCGCTCAAAGTAGTAGGAAGAAATAAGGTTTGTGAATCACGTAGCGTTCGTAACCGCCCACAGACTCACTCTCTCCCATTGCACATAACCGAGGACACGACAAAACACGGACAGTGATTTGGATTGGATTAACAACTGTGTTATAAAGCTCCACTCACAGTTGTAAACATGTCGCTAGCATCCATTGACCACTTTTAAATGTATTTTATTTATAACAATGTAGAAAAAGACATGCTGCCTGTAACAGTGTATGTCATATGTCAATTAACAGCGGGTTGCTCAACAAGGAGGCATAGTTAAACAATATATATATAATTACTAAGGGCTTTTTAGATAATCATTTAAATACCTTACACAATATTATACTTGTATACAAATGTTTATAATCGTGTCTAATGACTACCTGTGGCTTGTTTGGGAAATGTTAACTCGGGAAACTAGCCTACTTCCAACGTCTATTTATATATATATATATATATATATATATATATATATATATATATAGTGTGTGTTATATTTATAACTTAAATATAACACAAGATCATTATAACACAACATTATTGACAACTGTGGTTGACACACAGGGCCACAACGGAAAGTGTGCATTTCTTAAGCTCACATTAATACATAATTCAAAGTTGCTAGTTAGATGCGCCCACAGTATGGCCATACTCGTTTTCAAGGTTTTACAAATATGTTGTAATTTTCCTTATCATAGCCTACCTACATAAATAGTATTATTTTGTCGACTTTGGGTTTAAGGTAATGTAACCATCACGAGATATCCGCCTCCGTAATTTACTAGTTACCATGCAGGCCCGGTTCTACGGGGGTGCATAAGGGTGCATTGCACCCTGAGTTGAGTCGTTATGCACCCTCATTTGAAAAATGAAAAGTTAAAAATATTACATATGTAATAACAATAATAATAATAGTAGTAGTAATAATAATAATAAGAAGAATATAGTTGAAATAAAATAAATTGTGGTTAAATAACATTGTCTGCTGCATTTATTTGGTCAATTTAAACGGTAAGTAACGTTATTATGTCAGGTGTGCGTGACCTGTGCAGCTGCACGTTCGTCATCTGCAAGGTGCTTACACAGAAGTCAATGATGGACATCAGAAAATGGTTAAAACAACCAGCCCTTATCGCCAGCAGTAACACTGCATCTACTGCAGGTAATAACAGTTCAGATCATGGGGACATTACGTTACCCGCAGCCACTGTCGTGGACACTAACGCCCGACTCGCCGGCTTTGCCCGCCTCGCCCACGGAGGCAGAGCAGCCGCAGCTCTCTTTGTTGCCCCAAACACCGCCACCCCTCAGCGGCCCGCAAGTGCCAGAGGACCTCGGCAAAACAGAGCCTGCCCAGGTATATTTAAAAAAGTACCCAACTCGCCTGTACAGTGGGGTAAGGCGCTCATTTTGCAGCTCATGGTCTCAACACAGAGATTGGCTGGAATATTCATGTGAAAAAGATGCCATCTTCTGCTATGCATGTAAACATTTTGGTTCAAGTAAGTCAGATGCCTTCACCACAACTGGCTACAACAACTGGCGCAATGCTCTTATAGGCTACGTGATAAGGGAAGGCATGAATCAAGCACCCCGCCTCTGGAACTCCCTCCCACCTGACATCCGCAACACTGACTCTCTCCCCATTTTCAAATCACGCCTCAAAACATATCTCTTCACACTCGCATATCCACCCTGATCATTATCCATCACACATCCTCTGTTTTATTTATTTGATTTGTTGCATTGTCTTGTTTATGTTTCTTATGCTGGTGTTAGGTATTGTGTATCTTGTTTTTTATGTGTTTGTACGGCGACCTTGAGAGCCTTGAAAGGCGCCTATATAAAATAAATGAATTATTATTATTATTATTAAAGAGCACATAGATCCATAGATCTCTTAATTTTGCTCTCAAAGTGCACCAGATTGATGCTTTGAACTTCAATATTTAAAGAAAAATCTTCCCGGGGGAGCATGCCCCCGGACCCCCCTAGAGGAGGTGAGGACCCCCCTAGAGGGTGTTAGGTCCACTCCAATAGCACTTTACAACTACACCCTCTCTAATCTCAGATGCACCCTGAGTCATTTTGTTCTAGAACCGGGCCTGTTACCATGACTGCAGCACATCAGCGTTAAGAAAAACAAAGTCTGCACACAATGGAGACAAGTGCTGTACCTCTGTCGCGGCCAGGCTTTAAATCATGATAGATTGAACATACGGGAAAAATATGCCAAACCAGCAACAGTTTAAGTTAATAATTAATAATTCCTTACATTTATTATAGCGCTTTTCCAGATGCTCAAAGCGCTTTACAAATACACATTACACATATTTTTTTTTATACATGCAATGGTCACTGGGGACAATACCCACAGGAGCAAGTTCAGGTGAAGTGTCTTGCCCAAGGACACAATGGCTTTACAGACGTCACCCCTTGATCTGATGATCATTGCACAGCGCACTGCGCCACACCGTCCATCTTCACGAAGTCATCGAGGGGCTTTTACAAGTACACATTGATATCATACATGTACTGTGGACATTACCCACAGGAGCAAATCCGGGTGAAGTGTCTTGCCCAAGGACACAACGGCCTGACGCAGTGGCAGCAGGAGCGGGTTTCGAACTGGAGTTCCCCAGCACACCCCCTTGATCTGATGATCAGATGCACAGACCACTGCGCCACCCGTCCTTAAGTTGTTGCTGTTGCGCAACACCATTAAACATTCAACTAGTCCTCATTCATTCATTGACAAAAAAAGTCTACTGGATACTTTTGCACTGGGACATTCTGCCTAACAAGTACTTTTGGTACTCAGGTATATTTTGAAGCACACTTTTGTACTTTTACTTTATATTTTGAATGCAGGATTTGCACTTGTCTATACTGTGGTATTGCTACTTTTACTAAAGAAACATTAAGTACTCCACCTGATATTGACGCTATAACTATAACTTCACAATTAAATTGTTACATTCTTAACCAATTTGATTACTTGGTTAGGGATTAGAAATATAGACCAGTAGACATATGATACTGTATGGACTCTTGCATCAAAACCCAGCCAATATTTCAAAACCAATGCATCATACTCAAATCTGAGGGGCAGAGCCAGCAATCGTTGGGAAATGTACTTTGATTATTGTCCTAAAAGATGAATCAATAATCATTTCATTACAGGTTGATTTAATTATTTAAGTAATCTAATTACATCAGCCCGAAATGGCCCCAAAATAGCAAGACTATTGACACACAGAGGCCGGTGGAGTCAAAGTCCTGGTATAACCGGGGACATGTTGTATAAGTAGGAACTGGGTTTTTGCTTGCAACACAAAGTGAATGTGCACATGCATACACATGAGCCTCGATATTTAGGTGTCTTTTCCTGTTATTCAGATGGGGTCAGGAAGTATGGGGCCTACAGTAGAGTAATAATAGTGAACCACTATACTAAAGGTTCCCGGAGCAGGAAGAACTCAGCGGCTCCAGGAACATCCTGAATTAAACAGGCTGTATGTACATTAAAACATGCCTAATGTTAAGAAACATTGGGATCCATGAAGCTATTCAAAAAGACAAAGTCTAGAAAATAAATTAAAGGGTTTCATCTGAATACAAAACATAAAAGAAACAAACACACTGCCCTCTATTGGCAATTTAAATGTACTGCATCATAACATAATAATTACATGTAATTTATCCCATCTATGTATTTTTGGTTGTGTAAGTGTAAAACCTTGTTATTTGGCTATTGGTTAATGGTTAGGGGGGACGAAGTTGGTCATTGTCATTAGTTCTTATAAAGTAAAACTAAAAAACCTTGTTTAAAAAAAAGTCACATTTATTGCAAATGTTTAGACATATTATAACTCAAAACACCAATATACAGTTTGTCTTACAAGATAAACTGACCTAGTACAAAGCATAAGATAATGTGGATTATCTTTGGAACAAACCAAAGGAATTCAATAATCCAATTAAAATATATTTCTGCTCATTTACGGTTTCGCAATACACCTTAAAAGGGTGTTCTTCAGGTATGTGCACAGTTGGTTCATCAGGTCTCTGCTCTGACCCTCGACCCAGTGCATCTCGATCACCACGTCGCACTCCTCCATCATCACGTTCAGCAGACATTTAAACAGGAAGTGTTCGGGGGCGGCGGGGCTCTTGGGTCGCTTAGAGGGCAGTTCCTGCGCTGGGACCGGTGCTTCCTGTGGGCCTGCTTCCTGCCCCGTCTCTGAGCAGGTAGACAACTCCATGTCTTCACCTGATACATCCTCCAACACGTCTTTCTGTTCTGCAGTTGGATTGAGCTTCACATCTTGACTTGTCTCCTTTAAAGAGGAGCCATTCTCTACCCTCTCTGGCTCCTGTGCAGACCCAGCTTTGTTTTGAGCACCTTCCCCCTGGGTGGTGCTGTTTTTAGAGGACTGATTTTGAAATACGGGGTTTGTTGCAGGAGCAGCTGTGGTCAGAGGGGTCTGAGAGCTGGTTGCAGAGCCGGTTGCAGAGCTGGTTGCAGCGCATTGAGGAGCACGGGGAAGCTCTCGCAGCTGACGCGAGCCCTCACGTCTCTTCTCTCGTGAGTGGATCCAGGTGTTCTCCACAGCTGTGAGGAGGAGACTCTGCTCCTGCTTACTGCATGGGACTCGTTTGTGTATCACCTGCAGAGCCACACAGAAGACAATCTGAGTAATGGTAACATGTAGTGGAGATGTAGAAATGTATTGAACTTATCAATTGCTTGAAAAGTGTGACCATTAGCTGAACTGTGCAAAAAACCACTAATGGATAAAGAGAATCTCATTCAAACATAAACTAAATGAAACTCATCCAAAAACAATCCATTAGTCTTTACAGTTTCTCTGGTTTGAAAGAGAAATTAAATATGGAACAAATATATATTAAAAAACGAAGAGAAACAACCTTAATTCTATGGTGTCGTCAACTAACAATGCTTTCTTGCAATGATATTGTCTGTTTTCAACGGGTTTCCTGTGTTTAAAAAACCCTAATTTATGTTACCAAATGAACATTATATTGTTAACTATTACCTGTTCCATCCTAATTTAAATTTGGGGTGATGACAGACCCCATTGCTGTTCCCCTCTCATTGGATAACTAAAAAGCATGTGCGAAATGCAAGCAAGGGCGTTGTGGTTAAGCAAAACGTACCTCTGTTTAACATTACATGGAGTGAAAAGAGCACGGGGAAATCTACAGAGAATATTTATTAGCAATAGTAAAGTCCATCTGATCTAAACCTTTAGAAAGGGTGAAAGCTAAACTTAAATTGGATGGTAACTTTGATATTATCAATGGCGCATTTCCACTACAGCGCGGAGCTCGCTTTAAGCGTGCCGGGCCCGGCCCGTCTTTGGTTGTGTTTCCACTTGGCGTAGTTCCGGCTAGCGGGTACTATTTCATAGTTTTTCTGGCCCCATAAAATCGAGGTTCTTTCCGGGCCAACAACCAGGCGGGCTGAGTATGCTAAACTAGAGAGAGAATCGCTGGCAAGGGGGCTACAACTACAACAAAATGAACATATTTGACCGTGATTTAATTGTAATACACGTTTCAAAATGATGCCGAAGTAACAACATACTGATACCGGTTAGTAAAAACCATGAATTAATGCTTTGACAAGTTTGCAGACAGAGGGCAGGCGAAAAACCTTTTAAAATGCCTGTTTTCTAAATGGAGATCGGCTAAGCTAACGCAGTGTATGCTCCGACCGTCCACACTCACAACAACGGCCTTTACAGACATAAATAAACCATCGACTGTATTTGCCATGACACAGACAGTCTGTGGTTTGTACTTGTTTAACTTTTGTCTAGTTTCTGAACAGATATGAGGAGCTGTGAGCTTGAGTGCTAACAGCTAACGGCTGATGTTGGTTTTCTGTGGTTCTCATTGAAGATGACATCACGGCTCCGCCTACACTGCATTACTATAGTTACTGCCCCAGCTACTACACTGTAATGGAAACGCAGCATAAAGTGAGCCAGGCCTAACAAGGCCTAGCCATACCGAGCGAGGCCCTGTAGTGGAAATGCGCCATAAGTGACTAATGGGGACATCGATTTATGTGTCGGACAACAATATAAAAAAGGAGCTTTTGCTAGATATGGTCTGTTTTTCAGTTTGTCTTAACAAGTCTCGATCTAGAAGAAGTATCGTAATGAAATCTCATTTATACACAAAAGCATGTAGAAATGTGGTACAGGTTGAAAAGTACAGATGTTACCCTTTAGGTTGAACTCTTCTATCTGTGGTTCAGTTCTGTAACGTTCAGCTATTTAGTGTTAGTGCAGCTCTGAAGCTTACCCTCAGGTCAGAGAGTGTTTTCTCCAGCAGAGCACCGATGCTGTCCACCGGGCCGCGGGCAGCGCCACCTAAAGCCTTGGCTTTGGCCTGCAGCTCCTTCAATCCCGCCTTAGGCAGTACGAAGGAAAGTGGCTTCTTCGCCTTCTCCAGTTTACGCTTCTTACTGGGAGGAGACTGAGGTAAAAGGGAGAGACATCAGGAGAACATTAATAAACAGTCAGCCACACAGTGTTATTGGTCTGTACAACAAAATATAAGTAAGACAAAATAAAACTATCAAAAGGCACAGTCTTATAGAGATGTGTGGGTGAAGTCAACAATGCCAAAGATATCTGTGGTACCACGCTCAAAACGATTATTTTGCAACAATAGGATATTTCTAAATATATGTAGGAAATCATGTATTATTGATAAAGCAGGTAGTGAAAATTACAATTGAAAAAAGCCAAAGAAAACAGCAATACAGTGTTTCTGAAGATGACATATCACAGATGTCCTGCTCCCTTAGCATACAAATATTTAGAGCTGTTTTTATGTTGTTCTTGCCAAACTGTGTGCTTATATTTGTCTAATTTCCCATTTCATTCATCTCGTAAATACTATTTTTCATTTTATCAACTGTGTTGTGTTTTTTATCCTTCTCTTTTGTGTTTTCAAGTTACATTTTGGGCCACGGGACTTGTTCCATGAGAAACTCAGCCCAGTCCGTTTTGTCATCATTTTCATTTTCAGACATTTCACGTCACAGGCTAGTGCTCCGTCAATGATAATCGACCTAAAGTAACTACGTCCAGTGCCAGGCTACAGGTTGTGTCACATCTTTTATCAAAGCAAAAATATATTGGAAGAGACAAAAGTAACCTAAGATATTCAGTTAATATGATAAAAGATAAACAAAAGCAGGATTCAAATCTCTAGATTTAAAAAAGGTGAATGCTACATTTTCAGCATTTGCAGGAAATACTCACCATTAATAGATTATCGAACTAGTTGGCTATTATTTTTCTGTCAATCGATGGAACGATTGGTTGAGACATTGTTGCAGCACTTATTGATTTTATAGTTTTGCTGGGGCGGTCACTATTTAAAAACACACACTGTGCTTTTTGTTGTGTTCATACACATTCATCTTGCAGTTTCTATCCACTCTTGCTTGGCAGTACAGTGTACCAAAAAACATAATTTTGTAATTATTTACCGTTTTAATTTCTCAAAGAGAACCTTGTTAACTGTCTGTTTTTAACTTAAAAACAGGGCTCATCACTTAATACTCTGAACTGTAAAGCTCAAACAGAACCTGTGGTCCAACAGAAGATGGATTTGTGTCAGACGCCACAAGATGGCGCTCGAATCACACACTCCTGAGCCGACTGAACTAAAAATCATTCCTTATTTCTAATCCCCTCATGTCACGCTGTGATGGCAGTGGAGGACATTACCAAAGCGTGTCTGAATACAACAGACGCTCTGCAGGGGAACGTCCCCTTCACGTCCACTGCAGTAAAATAAGTCAACGCCGCACTGGGGAGTCAATGCAGGCTGGTTTAAAGTGGGGAGGCAGCGGGGGTCTGCAGCCACACTGCACTGTGACGGAGCAGACAGCATGGCCGACTGACCTACAAACAGCCGGGGGAAGGAGCAGACTGTGACCTTCACACTGCTGCACTCGGCAACTTTTATTACTCCTTCATTTTAGAGCATAACAATACTTTGCAGCATCTTCTTATTGTACTATGTACTAGAATTAAAGAATAACATGTTTTTAAATAAAAAGTGAAAAATACATTCACATTCCTACATTCGATTTTTATTTAATCGAATATATCAGTCTTCACTACCTGTTAAAGGTTCAAACTTGATCATATACAGATTGTTTTTGTTATAATGACAGTCGTGATAGATGCATGTTAGAAGAGATGGACATATTTATGAATTGATGGCTTGACAATGATCTCTGCATTGTCTTGCTGTTTGTTTGAGCTTCTTTCATTTCTTATGTCTCTCAAAGATGTTTCTTTTCCCTTTTTTCTCCACGCTCTGTAAGCCCTGCAGCTCTTTGTGCAAGGAGAGAAAATCAATAAAAATCCATCAAGCCAAACCTGTCTGTTTGTACACAGTATCCTTGACACAGATGCTTACATTAGTACACACACACAAGGATAGACTCACAGACAAAGAGCATGAACGCCACATTTGTACAATTTCACATGAACCCCTCCACTGAATGACATCCTCTTCTGATTCCGCTCCATTATTAATCCCACTTACACACTCTCACTGCATGCTCTCCCTCTCTCACACACACACAATATGTATAAATGACCTCACAACAAAAGCCTGGCCTATTTTTGAAAACTAGCCACACTAAAAGCCTTCAAGTCCAATAAGAGCTCTTCTCTCCAGATATAATGTCATTCAATCATCCATCATGATGGAGCACACACACACACACACACACACACACACACACACACACACACACACACACACACACACACACACACACACACACACACACACACACACACACACACACACACACACACACACACACACACACACACACACACACACACACACACACACACACACACACACACACACACACACACACACACACACACCACACACACACACACACACACACACACACACACACACACACACACACACACACACACACACACACACACACACACACACACACACACACACACACACACACACACACACACACACACACGAAATGCTGCAGATTTCACCTTCAGGCATACATTGTAAATCATACTCTGATCACCGGTCATCTCCCAACCCCCATTTCTGTTTTGTCAAGTCCCAAACCCCCCCCCCCCGCCTGGACCCCTGACCTCTGGACCTTGCCAGAGGCCTGTATGAGCACCATCGACTCAGGGCTCAGATAAAGCCTGGCTGTCTCTGTCTTTTCTTCCTACATGTGCTCTAATCTCACTATCCACAGACTCCACCCCTTTGTCTGTTTCTGCTGGATTTCTTTATCTGCATCTTGTTTTCCTTCAGTCCAATTAATATTATCAGCATTATCTGCATCTTTCCCTCTTGGCAATGAGAATATATTATATTGTTGCTCCTTTAAAAAGCAGAATTCAATGTTGAATTTCTTCACAACCAACAAATCAAAAAGCTAGTTTTATATTTCATGTGTTCCATGTTGTGTGAGACTCACTGTCAAGGAACTTGTTTTAATACATAAAAAAAACCACTATTATATTATTACCCAAAATGCATCGGTACCACTGACAGTTCAGACTTTGTATGTTATGCTAGTAGTGGCCATATGCAGCCTTCAGCAGGCTACAGAGGTAAGGTATCATCACTTTCAAACTTATACCTCCAAATATTTGATGATAATAATAGAAACCTGGAGGCTCCCTAGTCTGAATCAAGACGGAAATCTATTTTACTGCAAATGTTAACATTTCACACAACTCTAGTCTAAAATGCTAACTGGCGCACTTCAGGCTTCACACAGTTCCTGGAGCCACAAACGGCTTTAAAAAAACTCTATATGCAGTGGTACATCCCAAGACTTGTTAACACACTGATGGGTAAAGGACTGTTTTGAAAACGACTTCCTTGATGCAAATTTCAAGTAACTGATAGTTATTTTGGCAGAGTTTCACTTGAAGCGTCACCTGTAGAAGGCTACTTGTAACCCGTGTGTTTGATTAAAGTTAAAACAAACCAGACGACAGGGAGGGATAGAAGATGGATATAAAGTCATTGTGGTGATAATAGTTTGCTGCCTGACCTGGTAATAAGAGCCTAAAGTAGGTCAGGTCTGCATGCATGTCCCATATGTTGAAGTCTATATGTAACATTAATGAGCACCCCATGCACGTACATATATACCAGCCGTCTATAGGAACACACGCATGCAGGGTTTAGGGTAGTCAACCATGCAAGGAATCACACACACACACACACACACACACACACACACACACACACACACACACACACACACACACACACACACACACACACACACACACACACACACACACACACACACACACACACACACACACACACACACACACACACACACACACACACACACACACACACACACACACACACACACACACACACAAGGGGTATGCTCTGTGATGATGAGGATGAGGAAGTAATGTAGGCCAATCATTCTACTCAACTGCTTTTATGCTGAAAGGCCAAAACAGAGAGGAGTCGAAAAGAAGAAAACAACCCCGTCTCTGTGACAGAGAGCTGACCGCCTCTACCTTCCTTTATCTTCATCTGTCGTCACACCAAGGTCATTATTAGTGATGTAGCCAGTGTGGCTACTTTATTGCCCCTGCTTTCTATTAATCTCCAACTCTCTCACTGTCCAGACAAAACAATGAAACGCGCACACAGTCCGGCCCTGGCAACTGTTGCCTGGATACAGCATGTTAAAATCACATAAAGGTCTCCCCAGAGGAGGAGGAAGGAGTAAGTGCTACTAATGGATCGGAGCTGGAGGGCGGGAGGATGGAGGTGGTGGAGAATTGGGGAGGCGGCTTTGGGGTTTTGGAAATATCCAGTTCAAGAAACTAAATGACTAAAACATTACCAACATGAACATTTGACAAACCATATGCAAGTTATTTGTGGTCAAACAGTGTTTTTAGCTTAGGAAAGTTCCTGACTGAGAAGAGTGATCTGAAAGAGCAGCCATGATAAGAGCTAGTCGAATTCTCTAAATGCTCAGGAAGGGAGATTAAATGCTTCCTTTCTTATCTCCTATGGGATAGGACACACAGGACAATACGTTACCAAGGGAAAGGACACAATGTCCTCCCAGTTCCCTGAACGTGACATTTCACCGTCAATAACATCTGACATTGCTGTTCAACTGTGCACTGGATAAATTGTAAACATCCTTTTTGGAGGGAGGTGTGATGTACAGGAATCTTTACATCCATTGATCAACATTGAGTTATTTACTCACTTAAATATAGGAATATAATATTTTCGTCTTTTTAAAAAGTTGCTTTACTTAAAATATGTAACCTAGTGTAACTACAGTCAGATCCTCCAAGCACCAGTTTTTTTTAGCATGATTTCTCCTTAACATCCTTCCTTCACCTAATTCTCTCGTTTTTCATCAAAAGGTCGTAAGAAAAGACACAAGAGGCAATTTCAGCTGCTCCCTATTTCTTGGTATGATAAATGTATCCGCCCAAAGTGACACAAAACATTCTGTTGATTTTGCAATGAGGCTTGAGTCCTTCAAGAGCACACAGAGAAATAAAATCTGCTCAGACTTACCGGAACAATCACATCATCATAGAAGCTCCAGGCCAGCGCCCATCGCATCGTCCGGCCCTGGCAGAACTCTGTGTGTGTTACTTTGGGTACCTGAGAACAAAAGAGGATAGAGGTATGATTAGCACAACAACTCCAGCTGCACGGAGGTGATGATTATGATGATGATGATGATGATGATTTCAGGATGCACAAACAGTCTAATCAACAGTAAGCAGGTTTGCAATGTAATGAGCCAAATATTGAATATTATGGAAATTAGAGCAAACAAACGGATAAATGAATCGACCGATAAATCTATGTTATTTTCTGGTTGTGCTGTTATTTCTGGCAGTGTCATGGTATTCCAACTCATTTAATAATATATTATAAAGCCATGTAAATGTCTTGCTTTAAAATCAAAAATAGAACTTGCAAATCAAGGTGTTTTTAGTGGCATGACATCAGACATAGGAACCGTTTTCTCCCACGAAAGTACCTGCTAAAAAAGGTTCTGATGAACTCAATTTAGTTCTGGCTCTTTTTGGTGTGAACGCGACATTTCGGAACTATATCGGAACTAAAGTGGGAAAAGTTAGTTACGGTTTGATGAGCACTTCTCTTATAGTGGGTGTGAAAATAAAGACCCATGATGTGAAAAACACTCACTCTTGTGGTGTGAAAACCCTTCTGCTAACAGAGCACTTTAGGTGTCTCAGGGCTGAATAAGGATATATGAGGAGAAAGGTCACTGTGATAAAAGGTCAGAGGTCAAAGAGCTCTGTATTTGAGACATTTGCTAAATTAAAAAACACAGAGATGGATGAGGAGACACTGGAGAGAAGAGGGGTAATGGGTGATAAAAGCATTAGCATATTAACTAGGCCGGTTTTCTGTTTACACACACTTTAAAAAAGAGTCAGTCTCCTCTCTGGCCGCCAGCCAACGCTGCACTCACTCTGATGAGAACCTCTCGAGGAGCTTTGAGGGATGGCAGGTGGAGCTTTTTCTTTTATTGAGCATGAGAGGGGAGTGACTGGCACAGGACCCGCAGCCTGCAGCAGTCATGTGCTGGGCTATTAGTTGGGCTAATGACGCTAATTCATGTTATCTACAGAGAGCCTTGTGATTCAGTCATGCAGAGCTTAGAAATCCACTCCTTGGAGGCTCATTTGTGACCGTGCTCACTAAGCATATTGGAAAGAGCTGATGTGTTTTATTTATCTGGATTTCTGCTGCTCTGATGGTGACGGACGTCTGTTTCTTACGTCAATAGAAAGTCCCAGAGGAGTGTTGTGGTTCGAGAGGGAAGGCTAAGATTGTTTTAACGAGACATGATCAAACCAGCACAGAAGGGGCACCTTCCTGCACGAGCATTGACTTCAGAGGATGCAGATTTATTTGTGTGTTGATACTCACCCCTTGTTTCCTCAGCTCTTCTTTCAAAGGTGCCAAGCTACATTTCTTCCCCAACATGCAGCTGTACCACCTGCAGAAAGAAGAATCCACATTAACCAGCCGTGTGACGCTGAGATTTCGGGCATGAACTACAAAGCAGAGATCAAACGAGCCGGAAGAGCAACACAAACGCAAAAGTAAAACATGAGACGGGAAAAATATTCGTATGTTTGTGTACGGGCCACAGTGGAGAAAAAGCTCATTTGAAGTCGTCCCTCGGTGGAAGCGTGATCAATAATCTCTGCTGTGCAATAAAGAGGATGGGTTGGTCTGATCAATAAGAGTCCAGCCGGGGAGATGGAGGAGAGGTAAACACATCAGGAAGTCAGATTGAAAGGAAACACAAACCATGTCAGGGTTTGTTGAGTTTTATTAGGTATTAGTTAAACCTCATCTCCTTTTATTTAATCGCCACAGCTTAGAGAAAAAAAACATAAAATTCACAATAGTTGTGATAATGTAAAGTAAAAAGATATCCATATAAACTCAGGGGTGTAAATCATTGTCTTGTTAACTTTAATCGATCTATTCACTAAAATCATCAACAAAATGTGGACGATAGAAGCCCTGAGTTTACCATTTTTCATAAAATTCATCCGAGTCACTTACAAACGGGCGACCACAGCAAAAAGCTTTTCTGAGCAGCAACAAGTTATTTTATTGCACGTGTTTTCACCTTTCAGGCCACAACATTGCTTGTGGGGAGAACAAGCCTCTTCTCTCAAGTAATGTACAACAGCCTTCTCTGCATAATTTTGAGGTAAACACATTTTCTTTTCAATAATAAGTTGATAGCAAAAATAATTGATTAACTAATTACCAACCATTTTTATAATCATCTTTCAAGCCAAGTCTCAGTTTCAGTCACTGACTTGTGTTCAAAACCAAGCCCTTGTAAACAGCCATATTCCTATGTTGCAAATGTATTATCTTTTCAATTTACACACGGCATCTATTGCACGTCTGTCCGTCCTGGGAGAGGGATCCCTCCTCTGTTGCTCTCCCTGAGGTTTCTCCCATTTTTCCCTTTAAACTGTGGGTTTTCTCCGGAAGCTTTTCCTTGTACGATGTGAGGGTCAAAGGACAGAGGGTGTCGTATTGTCATACTGATATTCTGTACAAACTGTAAAGTCCACTGAGACAAATGTAACATTTGTGATATTGGGCTATATAAATAAAACATAAACATTGACATTGATTGATTGATATTCCTTAACAGTCCTATATTTATTCCTTAAGTCACAAAGCTACAGTCTCAATAAACGACTGCAGATGAAAAAACAGTTTTGACTCGTTACTGATGGAGAGAAAGGGCAATGATTTGTATTCAGTTTAGGGGGGTTATGAATATGCCCCAGAGGGGGTAAAGGGGAGGAGAGCAACATGTCAGCCTGGGTTGACACAATGAAATATTGAACAGCTCTAATATTCACAGATGTTCCCCAATTTTCGACACAGTAGGGGGGACAGGGACACACACACCTAGAGCAGCCCCGGCTCTCCTCCTCCAGAGTGTGTGCAGCTGCGTCGGCATCCATGTTCTCTATTCACATGTTGAAGCATGTATGATTACACACTTATGAGCACAGATGGTAATTTTCATATCAATGGCATGATAAATGAGGAGTATTACCTCATTTCTAACCGGGGTTTTTGGAAGTGTGTCTCGGTCTGGGAATTAAGGTGGCTTGGCCCTAACTGACAGTAATTACACTTCAGTGGAAATAATAGGGAGGGAGGGGCAGGGCGGGGTGACACTGAGAGCGTCTCAGAGGACCAATCGCTAGAGCTGGTAGTGTTTCCATGGACACAGGGTTGCTCTGGTGTCCCAGCATGCATTTGGGAGTGACATACGGCTCCGGTTGGTTCGACCCGAGCCTCAAAGATGTTAAATATGACAGGTTCTACTTCCTGTCTACACTACATGACTAACGCAGATCCACAGAGCGGCAGGCAACCATTAAGAGTGCTCCCTCTCAGGGTTCGTCACACACACACACACACACACACACACACACACACACACACACACACACACACACACACACACACACACACACACACACACACACACACACACACACACACACACACACACACACACACACACACACACACACACACACACACACACACACACACACACACACACACACACACACACACACACACACACATACACACACACACACACACCACACACACACACACACACACACACACACACACACACACACACACACACACACACACACACACACACACACACACACACACACACACACACACACCACACACACACACACACACACACACACACACACACACACACACACACACACACACACACACACACACACACACACACACACACACACAGCTCCCCTGTACGAGGCATAGCAGGTGAGGCATGTCTAATCAGTTTTAATAGCCCCACTCTGCAGCTCCCTGTATCCGTGTCTCACTCTGCTGCCCCGGTGACAGCCCTCTATACAGGGGGGGTAGAGTGACGGGCTCTGGATACTCTCCCACCCAAACACAGCTGTTCCCTGTGGGCTCCCGGATACAGTACAGGGGCTGCTTGTGCCAGGATCATTAAAACAAGTGTGGGTGACAGCTCCATTAATGTGCAGCGACCCATCTGCAAATTTCACCTCTTAGAGTCTCCCCTTCACTGGGGCTCTCAGCGGCCATTTAAACCTCTCAAAGCTCTTCAAAGAGAACCGAACTGCAGCACTCTTGTTCATCCATCTGCCACTTCAGATATGTGTAACCCTGAATTGTTGCAGTCCCTGTGTGTGATTCAGATCAATGAATCTGGTTTACATTTGCTTTTTACACACACAACAAAAACACCTGCATCTCCCGTTTGTCTCAGGTCTGATTCTGCAGGTCACAGTCAGACTCTTTGTCTCACCGCAAGCGTTTCTTTAGCTGCAGGCTGTCATGAATGATCCTCTTGACAAACTCCAGTTCCCCGCCCTCCGCCATGATCTCCGTCACCCCGCCTGTGTTCACTGAACTGGGAGGAGGTCGCCGTGAGTTCCTGGAGTTTACCCCCTGAAGAGAGCAGCAAGACAGACAGAGATTAACATAGAATCCTATTAGAGACTGTTACTATCATGTCAACAAACACAGAACAGTGTTTACTATCATGAGCAGCTTTTCCAATTTCGTGCCACTGTGAGCTGAAGCCATCTTTGAGTCAGTAGTTGTTAATGTCCCTGGGTTTTGGGCTACAAGAACTGTTTAAGCCAGAATGTAGGTAGGGAGAAACTCACCTTTGCTTCAAGCTGATTGGCAAAAAAAGGAGGGTTGCACATGCAGAAGTCGTACACTATTTCTGTCTCTTCTTTCAAGGCGTCCATCAGTAAAGTCTTCTGAGGGACTTTGACCACTAGGAAAGGGTAAACACAGATGAGGTACGTTAGGTTAGCTACATGTAATGTTTTAGCTAATCGTGACAGCAGTTTGGAGAAACAAGTCTAAACAACGTACAAATTCAGGCTGTTCCACACAAAATTAAATTGATAGAAATTAGGTTATCAGTCTAAAATGGTGGCCTTTTATCATACTAAGAGACAGTGTGCAATTAAAAACAACAGCTGCAAAACATTCCTTGGTTTGTTATAACCAGTAGTGTTTGGTGGCTAATGTTAGCAAACTTAAAATAGATTTTGCAGACACGCCTCTTTTTTTGTGCTTATTATTTTATTATTATGTTACATTTTCGCATTCAACATAATCCCATGTAGTGTTATTTTAGCTAAATTGGGGAAAGTTGAGCCAAAGTTACATACACTCTATAAGAATAATTATCTAAGAACATGTAAAAAACTACACTGAAAGACTTTAAAGGTTTAAATGTGCCACTTTAATGTCTTGAGATAGACAGTTTTTCAGGATGAGTGAACCACATTTACCTTTAATGAGGTCAGACAGGCTGTTCTGCTCCACATTTTTCATAGCGTAGTCAAAGCAGATGTCGTCCACCTCCGTGGCCAGAAAGTACCAGCCGTTCATGGTGGCTCCCAGTAAGGGGTAGATACAGGACGCACCAGTGCCTGAGGAACACACACATATGTTTGGCAGGTTTAGGATGTGTGACTTCATCAAGATGATAAATGGTTATAAGTTTAATTGAACAATATGGAAAAAAGTTTAAAGTAAAAAGGTAAAGGGAATATAATGGACAATAAAAGGCAGTTCCAGAAGCTGTTATTAAATCATCCAAAGACGACAGTAGCTGCATGAGGCAGCGCAAGCTCAGATAAAAGTGGCACCAGTTAGTAAAGGAAACGCCCAGTGGTGATCCATCAGAGAGCAGACAGCTTCAATCTGCTTACAGAAAGATTCAGGGTCACCAATCAGTGCCCTGAGGTCCTTAAGAGCACGAGCACACACACACACACACACACACACACACACACACACACACACACACCACACACACACACACACACACACACACACACACACACACACACACACACACACACACACACACACACACACACACACACACACACACACACACACACACACACACACACACACACACACACACACACACACACACACACACACACACACACACACACACACACACACACACACACACACCACACACACACACACACACACACACACACACACACACACACACACACACACACACACACACACACACACACACACACACACACACACACACACACACACACACACACACACACACACACACACACACACACACACACACACACACACACACACACAGTTTTTTTCTCTGACAGGCAGAACGGCAAACACGCTGTGACATGTGGATTGGGATTTTAGCTGCTAAGTGCTAGGATCACTGGAAACAGTGGGCTCATGTGAACCAGCTGGAAGCACCGACTGACATTTTGTGTGCCGCTCTGAGCTGCTGTCAGCCGAATCCAGAACAAACAAGAGCAGGGGTCTCATAGCTAATTATCCTGAAGTCTCAACATGTTTTTTTGCATTTTTTCCACACGACGGCTGAACTACTATACTTTTCCTTTCCTTTACTCGAGTACCTCTTTTGTCTTGTGCCGTTAGCTTGATGCATGTTAAATGTATAATAAAAAGCATTCTCCTATGTTCCAGTTCTGCACCCTTGCTAGTAGGGTTTGGCAATTCGACAAATATATTGTCCGTTTAAGTAGACTTTAAAAGATGTGAAGAAAATGACACAAAGAGTAGTGCTGGTACCGATGTCGATGCCTCTGCGCGGCTGCTTCTGGCCGTCGATGAGGTCCTCCACCCAGTGGATGTAGTTGAGGCGGAGGGGCACGGTGGGGATGAGGCGCTCCAGAGGAATCTCGATGGACAAACCAAAGTCCTCCTTCAGCAGGGTGCAGGTCAGCGCTCGCACCGCCTCCGGCTCTTTGAAGTTCACACTGGAGAAGAAACATGGCCGAGCATTTAAATCTCACTGTAACAGGAAACATTAGATTCATTAAACAACTAGGTATTTTTGTTTTGTTTCGGCCCTTCGTTTATTTGTTATGATAGCATTGTAGTCCCTCAAATTATCTAAACTACTTGCCTACTACTAGTCTGTTATTTCTAGTCCAGCTACTTGGAAATGTAATTTTTCAATATTTACATATTGGAACTATTTTCAACTGGGTGTCTGTAGCAACATTACCAAAATGCTTACTTCAATTATTGCAGATGCAACTGAACATTTTCTACAGCATAAAGACTTATATCTGGCAAAACACAAGTTGACTTTGAAGCAGTCAGAAGAAATGCAATGTGTGTGTGGTCCTTTACGGCCTTTTTTGAGTAATGAAAATGTCAGGTGCAGCTAGTGAGACAGGCTGCACACCTCCAGCTTCTCAGCGAGGTAACCAACTGCTTTCATTTCCACTTTTCCAGACTCATGCCCTGTGCAGAACACCACCACATCATGGTTGCTCACAACATTGTAGAAAAAAGCCAATTATTGATGGAGAACATTGTTTAGTTTTAAATTTAAGTTTGTTTGTTCCTGTCCCCAGTATTCTGGGGCCTGTAGGATTAAACGGCTGAATCTTAATTGACGATGAATTTTATTTCAAGAATGCCAACTCGAATTAAGGGTCAATCAAATAAATAACTACAAATGGCATGTTTATATTTTTTAAAGCAAGGTGGTATATAGAGAGTTTAACACATTTCCAGCCCTGGAGATTGGATACTCTTTTGGTTTGAAGAGACCGGTTTGGTAATAATAATTAACCTGTTAGCCTCAGTTTTCTTGTTAAAGGGAACCTGAAGGTTATTTGTACTGAAAGAACAGTGACCATAGCAACACAAATAAAACCCATGCAGTATGAAATGATATTTCCCCTTTAAGGATGATTTAATTTAGTGGATTGCTGATCCTCTTGTTTTTTCAATGAGGTGCCTGACAGTCATTTACCAATCTGCTCTTAATATTGCACTTCATTAACCCTGCGCCCCTCCAGCCTGCTGCAGCTCTCTGCACTGAACCCCATTACTTGTATTGCACAAACACACACACACACACACACAAAAACACACACATGCAAGCAGATGAAGTACAATAGGGAGATAAGCAGCCGTCCACAATCTCTTGCTAATGACAATGAAATTCACATTTCCACGCTGCTGAGGCCTCACACTTCTTACTCCCAGTTCTCAGTCCCACTCATTTCCTCTCGACATGTTTAATGATTTCAGCTGTCACACAGGCGTGCACGAGTGCGGCAGACAGAACGAGTAGGCGAAATAGGTATAATTAAAGCTTCGCTGAGCGCTTTCACACCTTGGCAGATGTAATTAGACACATCCTGGCGATGGCAGCGTCTGGCACCTCCCCAGTTTGGTGTGAGTAGAAAGAAAAACACATACTGCTGGTAGAGATGGAGAAATAACTCTGAGATCTAAAGAAAAAGCCAACCTCTGTTTTTGTTTTGTCTTTCTCTTCACATATCAATTACACATAAAGAGCTGAAATGTTGTGCTCTCAGTATTCAGCTCTTCTTTTGTGATACTTCACAACACAGAAAGGCCTCCCATTTCCATTTCTCTCTCACTTGCTAGGCACATTTAATGACCAGAATCCAATGACATAAAAACAAGTCTATAGCAGGGGTACTCAAGGTCCACTTGTGAATGTTATACAAGGTCAATGGTCCGGATCAATGCCAGTAAAGTCTCCCCCCCCCCCACCCCCGGAGCGGAGCAACGGAACTGAAATTAAGAAGTAGTTTCTGCGCGCTATGCATGGGGCCCCCTTGAGGGGGTTTCCCGACATGTCGTTGCAGTAAATTAAAGGGTGTTTCATGCTGTCGTTGCTGTGGACCTTCTTACTCTTTTTTTATGTTTTTAAAAAATAAATTGTTATTGTTTATTCTGGTTTGTTTTGTGTTTGTATCTTTTATTTTAAATTAATTAATTAATTGTATGTGAGCTGAGCTGTGTGATTTTATATTTTATGTATCTCTCTGTACAGCACTTTGGTCTGGAGGTTTTAAAGTGCTATATAAATAAAGTTGGATTGGATTGGAATAATCTACCTTATTTAGGGGCCCCCTTCTAGTCCAAGCACTTGCCTGTCGGTAAACGGCGCCCCTGTATACACACACACATTCAATACATACATACAGTATGATGGCTTGAACTAGTGGGAGAAATTGCACTGTTTGTCTGTAGCCAATGCCTTGAACCTTGGCAAAAATGGCATTAGAAGCATTAGAAAGTCAAGGTAAACTTGTGTTCTGCAATGCGTGTCTGACGCTCGCGCACACAAGTAAATATATATATGCACGTTCATTCTCACAATGCATCAGACACAAGAAAATATACATTAAAGGGGACCTATCATGCAAAATGCACTTTGTGATGTCTTTTATACATAAATATGTGTCCCCGGTGCGTCGGGGAACTCACGCAGCGTCAGAAAATAAAACCCTCTCTTTTCCTCCGTACCCAAATCTTTTAAAAACAGGGGTACAACGAGCGGATACAGATTTGCTGCCGATATGACGTGAAATCGGCAGCGGACCCACAGAAAATTGCTATCAGAAACAATGCCTGACGTGTTTTGGACGTAATCTCGTCTTTGTTTACATTAGCAAGCCTCGCTAACACTCAGAGCTAACCTGTACTGAAGAGCACATGTGTTTAAAAAGCAGGACATAAAAAAGGAATTCACCTTGTGATAAACCCGCAAGAGAAAAAGCATTTGAGCTCCATACTGTTTCAGAAATAATCTTTGATGTGGTTTAGAACAGGATGGCGTTTTATCACAGCAGAATTTAACTTTATCTCCGGTAGAATTCTGATCAGGCATTAGCTCCGCCTTCTCTTTTTTTTTTTTCAAGCTAAGGACCCAAAATCCGCATTTCTCTAACAGGGCTGCAAAAGAGGGGTATGAGCAGTATGAGGCATGGCTGCAAAGGGTGAACTGTTTGGTATTTTAAGGGAAAAACTTCACAGACATGTTTTGTATAGGTATGGCCCTACAATATATTTTTCCAATATAGCATAATAGGTCCACTTTAATTTAAATCAGAATTTTTTTTTTTTATATATATATATATATATATATATAAAATGGGACACAGGGTTTGGCCCAGATTGATTTGCAGTTCGGTCCGGAGTTTGAGAAGCCCTGGTCTATAGACTGATAACGGCCCGTCCACACAGCGGCGTGCGTTGATGCTTCACCATTCACTTTGAATGGGGTGACGTCACTTTGCACCGAACTGCATCGTGGGAAGCGACGCGGAGCGTTGCTGGCGTGGCTCGCTGCAAAAGTTGAGCAATGTTCAACTTTTGACGCCTCGGCAGAAGCGTCAGCCAATCGAATCATATGCCAGTACAAGCTCTAGCCAATCAAACCGCTGCTTGTGTGTCAGGGGCGGGAGATTCATGTGATTGGTTGTTGGTCGAGTTTCAGACACGCCCGCCGGCAAGCGTCAACGCACGCCGCTGTGTGGACGGGCCGTAACAGTCCTGTGTTGCTTCAGGTTACTGTGGGATAAAAGGGCTCCTTTAAACTTTGGACAGCAATACCATTACTGTTGCCAGTATTCTCTGCCGATCTCACCTAATTGTACTCTCCTGCTGCTGTTTACTGACATGATATGTAGTTTGCCATCAACCTTTCATTTGAATGCAGCAACACACTGATTGGAGAAATAGGAGAAACTCCCTCACTGCTGATAGGACTTTTCTCTGCCTCTCCACATAGAAGCAATAACATAGAGAATCCACCCTCCAGGTGTGAGACGGATATAAATGAGAAGCAATTTACCTGTAGAGTCTAACATTAATCTTACCCTTTGTCTCTTCACTAATGAACATATTAGTTAATGGTCCGGTTTAATCAGCGGCTGGAGGAGTGTGACCTCCAGGAGGAAACACCTGGCTTTAAGAATGCTCCACACGTCTTGAAAAGAAGAACCAGAGAAGGCATTTGCACTTTTAAAAAATGGCCAGAGATGAGGCGAAATCATGCTGATGTATCAACTCTCCCTCATTAGTTCAGCACTCACTCTTTCCCAAAATGAAAGGCGGTGTCTCTCTGATATTCTGCCCTTTTTATTTCTCCTCTGAGGCATCATTAGATAAGGATCAATATTCAGAGAGCGAGGCTGCTCAGGCCAGCCCTCTATTTTTAGCCCCTGATGAGTGAGTGTGCGCAAGTGTGTGTGTGCACAATGCAGGCCGATCACTTCCATCATCAGCACTGCAAATCCACGTCTCCATGGCAACCCCACCGACTGAACAGATGAGGGAAGAACGCAAATCCGGCCACGCTGGAGCAATGGCTGATGCCAGACAGCGTGAGTGTGCCCGCCGTTTACGCCTGTGATGTAGCTGCAGCGCTGCGTGCCTACGTCATAACCTGGCCGACGGGACACCGTGTGGGACAAATTGGACGAAGAAGTTGTGATGAGACTGAATATGTGGTACTGTTTTGATAAGATGTGTGAGAGGGGGTTAAAGATATAAATCAGGATTCAGTTATACCACAAAAATCCAGTTTACATGAACAGAGTGACAAGAAGGTGATGAGTTTGTGCTGAGAGGACGACATTTTGAAGAGGATGATATAATGAGACCGGAGAGGAGTTACTGCTGAGACAAACAGCTTGATCTCACCTCCACGCTACATGATCAGCATAAAAACACACACACACTGTTTAAATCTGTGTCCACGGCGAGGTGACCTTCAGGTGCATCTACTTCACTCTGAGTGTGCTAGGAAACATTTTGTGCTGATTGGCTGTAACTTCTTCTCCCGTGTCAGGTGTTTTTTTTTTTATTCCTCACAAGAACAGGAATGAGCGCATCACTTAAAACACAACATTAATTGAAAGCTACACTGACTTTAAATATCTCTCAGCAGATAGTAAAATATGTCTGCCTGGTTATAACT